TTTCCAAGGAATCGACCTTCTTAAACTCACCCAGCTTCAAAAAGAAGACAGTGATCTTCAGTACGAGTTATCGTCTACAACACTCAAGCTTTGCATCAAACATATGGGAACAGGTAAGGAAACCTTACTGTGTGACACACCTACAGGTAGGGATCGCCCAATCGTGCCTAAACATTATCGACGCAATGTTTTCAACACATTGCACAAACTTTCTCATCCAGGTGTTCGTGCAACCATGAAGCTTATAGCAGAACGGTTTTGCTGGCCTAACATGAATAAAGACGTGAGGGAGTGGGTACGCTTCTTTGTAAGCTGCCAAAAATCTAAGGTTATCAGACACAATAAATGTCCCTTAGGCTCGTTTAAAACTCCCGATGCTCGTTTCGACCATGTTCATCTGGATTTGGTAGGACCTTTACCAGATTCAAATGGATACTCTTATCTCTTAACCTGCGTAGACCGTTTCACTCGATGGCCAGAAGCAGTACCTATCAAGGACATCACTGCTGAAACAGTGGCTCGCACCTTCGTCGAACGATGGGTAGCAAACTTCGGCTGCCCTTCAACCATCACTACAGACCGCGGACGTCAGTTTGAATCTGATCTTTTCCGTCGTCTGACCACTCTTTTAGGAATCACCCGCTTCAGAAAGACCGCCTACCATCCACAAGCAAACGGGTTGGTAGAACGTTTTCACCGACAACTGAAAGCTTCGGCTATCAGCTGCAAACGTTTCACAATGGACCGACGCTATTCCACTCGTCTTACTAGATATTCGCAATGCAGTGAAAGCTGACATTGGATAAACTGCGGCTCAACTCGTTTATGGAACGACACTTCGACTTCCAGGAGAATTCGTGGATCCTTCATCCTCTTCAATGAACATGGATCTAATCTCCTACACGAACAGGCTTACAAACGCAATGCACTCAGTTAAACCTGCTTCCACTCGACCTCAATCAACTGATGTTTTCGTTCAACCTGACTTACGATATAGTACACACGTTTTCATTCGTCGAGACTCGCATCGACGACCATTCGAATCAGCATACGAAGGACCCTTCAAAGTTCTTCAACGTGAATCTAAGTACTATATAGTCGATAAGAACGGAACAAACGATAGCATCAGCATCGATCGCTTAAAAGCAGCGTATTTAGAAGGAAATCCTATCTACGTGGATTTTCCTTCGGTACAATCGAACGACACGACTCCGACACTTATAATACCTCATCCGACAACCAACACACACGATGATACTTCGACAGTATCCGAAAATAAACTTAAAACGACGCGTTCTGGAAGAAGGGTGAGATTTCCAGAACATTTAAACGACTATTGCACGTAAGGCACTTCTCGACATTTTATATTATTTTTTTTAAAAAAAAACAATTTTAATATGCTTATATTTTTTTATTTCTATCTAAAAAAATATACAAAACAAAAAAAACAATTTTTTAAAATGCTATTACGTGTTCATGAGTTTATTTTCCATTTTTTCTCCGCCGACATTGTGTTTTTACGCACATACGAGTGTATTTCGACATGCACTTACATTTTCTTTTTTCTTTTCCAGGACGGCTGGAAAAGAACGACGACGTTTATGAGGATCCGAAATTTTCATTGTACATTTTCTTTTTTTACTATGTTGTACCTCCGTCCCACATAGTAAGGAAAGACGACCAGACGCTGCTAAATTTAGTAAGCTATCAGAAGAGTGTTTACCAACGACAAACTCGTTGGGTTTAAACTTCTGGCTGGCCACGTCTTAGGGTCGTCACTGCCCCACTAGGGGGGGGGAGTGATCTGTAGCGGTAAATAAATCCCCAAAATAAATAGCACTAAGTTTTCGACATTGGATGCTGACCATATGTTTTAGTGGACTCACCTAGCTGAAGGCGCTCGGTCAGGCATCCGTACCAGATCACGTGTGGTAACGCCGTGCCCAACATCAACCGCAATCGCTAGCCAGATTAGATCAGAGAATTCCGATATATTGGTCATCGCCAAATATACTCTTCCGATTTCCTCGACTCTGTCTTTTGATTTCTCTGGGCGGGAACGAAATATATTAGAAGGTGTTACTGGTAGAAGCGTTGTCAAACACTGAATACCTGTGACATCATCATGATGTTTACTTCCTAACCCTCCCAGGATTTTACTTAGTCATTTGGTATTAACAAAGAAACTGCAGGCACCAAATAAACGGATTCAAAAACTTCAATTGGTAATATGAAATCTGAGAAAAATCCAATTACAATGCTTATAATACTATTAGCGATTCACTGGTTACATACAACAAGGACATCACTGGTGGGCAATATTTACATAGTACTCACCAATATTCATTAGGAATTTGTTTGTAATTTACCAGTGATTGCGGATTCTGTTTACGGAAGTTCATACCTATAACAGGCAATTCATAAATTAGTTTTAACTATGACATGGTTTAGTTACCATGCTCAAAACAAGCTGGCATCGCTCGACTGAGTAATGTGACACTTACAGTAATGTTATACACAGTTCCTGTATATGTTCATAAAGCGGGCAGAAAAGGCTATCAACGTTAATTGTTACTCAGATGATTTTTCTCAGATAAGTTACATGATAATGTGTCAGTTCAGTCGAAAATGAAGATAATTATAATGGATAAAACTGTTTATGGTTGTATATTAGCAAGTTATGCAATATTCATAAATAGTTTAATGCCAAATTGCTTCAACCTGTTTTAGAAACAATTACCAACACCCATGTTCATCACCATAATAACTAGGCAGGTGAATCCGCTGTAAAGTGTCTTAAAGCTCATTTTTTGTATAAAACTCTGATTGCTGTCTATTTTTGACTTGTTAAATGGTGAATTTCACTTGCCCGAGTTCGCATTGTTACAAATAACCACACTAGACTGACTAAACATTACTAGGTTGTGAGCAAAAACTACGTCAAACTATCAATAACCTGGAATAAAAGCTATGTAACAGGCACAAACGTCATGAAAATTGACGTGAGACGGAAAAATACTGTAAATAGCTGGTGAATAACGACATCCAAAATCTTCCATAAAGTGTAACATGTGTGCGTGAACCAGTAGCAGCTTCATATGTCGACACTTTAAAAAGAAAGTTGGGTCAACTGAGAGAGTATCAGTTTCTATAATAACATAGACAATCTAGCCCCCTGTTCTTTCAAATCTGAAACTGATGCAGAAAATATTCGTGCAAAATGACCTTGTTACCATAGTAACAAATGGACGAGGAGATTTAGATGTTTAGATTTGTGACGTTCTGAAACTCCTCTTATCAACCTCTGATACTGACTATCAGATATCTCTAATATCACAAATTTTTTGCTTGTCATCATTATCGATAATGTTCATTTCTTAGTGTAAGTGTACTAATATTAGTAGGAGTTAAATATTTTACTTGTTGAGTTGTCCCAAACTCCCAACATTGGGATAAAATAGATCAGTTTTGGATAAATTACAGGGCAGTGCCTCCAAAAACTTTGTATTAATTTTAGCTAACTGCAACAATCGAACGTTGGGAACTGCATTGACCATGACCCTATGATGCATATGCATCATATGATTATAGCAGTGTGCCTAGGATATTCACCAACAGCCGGACAGCTTACTCAGTATATTTATTCAAACAGTATTCATTTCTGATACTGTTATACATACTTAGTAGCCTTTGAATACTTAATAAGTAATACATGAGTCGCGTGAAATTCGTACGTTCTAGCAAAGTCATACTCTGTCTTAAAAATAATATATTTTAATATAAAATTGTAAATCTCTGCTATAACTTGTGGCCGCCGATTAGAGAGCAGTGAGTTATCGATCGGATCAATGACGCGCGAACCCGTATGAGCAGCCTAGAGTTCTGATTGGCCCTACTTTTCACCTAGCCCAGCCAGTTGAGTCCAGAACACCAATTGGAGCCTCTGTAATATGAATCATTATATTTCAAACATACTGAGTTTATATACCAATCAAACAGACCACAACGTAGCAATAAAATATGAAATGACACTTGTACAAGAATTAGTCAGATGTGGCTGTGAATGAGGGAGGTAGTAATTAATATACTGGGTATAACTCAAGAATGGTAAAACGTATAATAATAGTTTAAGGGTCAAAATAGAGCTTATAATAAGAGGAATATGAATATATATGGTTTAGTTACTTAATAATTATACAATAGAAATATAGGTTTAGTATTGGTCCATATATGGATCCCAAAAGTTACCATTCATTATTCTTGTCGGAACATAACAGTTTCACGCATAATAACCCTTTAAAAAGGCAATAAATTTCAAAAATCCTATGAAAAAGATTTTGAGATGGCAAGAATGACACCAAAACATTTTTAAAGTGCATTTACACGTATGCAAGTAAGTAAGTACTTACGTCATACATGTCATCTAAGTAAAAAAATCATGGCATTTCAAGGATCACATGTACGCCGTATAGTTATGTATAGAGCTTCAAAAACTTCAAGTCCGTGGCCGTAATTCGTTGGGATTCAAGGTGTATACTGTTGAAGATACCTGAAATTGTTGCCTGTCTTATCATGCTACAAATAATGAAACAGAAAATTATTTGTAAATTGGTCGATCCCTTTGATAAGTTCCAAAGTATGGGCTGTGATTTAATGAAGATTTATGAAGCCTGCACCTCATAGCAAGATTGTCGTCGTATGGGGTTAATTGTTATCATGCAAGGTAACGGCTTACAGTTGTAACAATCTTCTAAAAACGTTTTAATTTTCCACTGTTTTTTACTTGTGTTTTCCCATTGTTGAGTGCTTTAAGTTTCGTTTAATTACTCATAATGATAGTTATGCCTGATTAATAGCAATTTTCATGTTTTCGTTCGTTTTATAACTTTTTAGATTGATAGGTTGGTTGAATTGATTGGTTCTTTCAGATATACAAAAACCATTTTTCTCCCACTCACACTTGAAGGATAATTGCAAACAAAATAACAACTCGACGCCATATGAAAATGAGTATCACCTTATTAGGTTTTAAAACTATGTTAACGGAGGAGTTAGGTAACAGTTTAGAAGAAGATTTAAGACAAATGGTGGTTAGATAGCTTACTGTTTTAAATGAACGAGTGAAATAACTTTGTAGATTTCGATAACTACACAAGAACTTGAAAAAATAAAACAAGAACTCATTTGTTCATTTAAAGACTCAGTATGTCCACATTTACCTTTTTTAATTTACTAAGAAGTCATTCTCTTTGGATGGGACACGATGGTCCAAAATAATCAAAACTTTTGCAAAGATTGTAAAAGAACTATTTTTAGGACCCGGAGCGGAAACAAATACGTCGGCATTTTCATCCCAACAGGAAAGCATTCCAAAGGGTATTTACAAAATTTGCTAAATTTTTGGAAGCTTTTAGGGAAATAGTGTACATGTACAATAAAACGGTATGCTCTGATAATCAAGGATACAGGTAATGTGGACCACTTCAAACGAAAATTGCTAGCTCTAATATACATTCCAGTGATATAAACAATGGACTATCTTTAGAAGGTATTCCAATTTCAGATTTGGAAACGTATATATCAATCATGAATTATTGCAGAAAGTCAGAGAAGCCCTTCCCAGTTTGAAACAAACTACCCCACTGATTTGTCCACAAATGTTTGCACTGACGCCGAATGTGAATATTTTAAAGTGAGTTTTATTTTTGTACGAATATAATAGTTCTTCTCATCGTATAGGAAGTGGGCTCATAAATAATTAGCGATAGTTTGTTTTGTATGTAGAGAAAACTAAATTTTTAAAAGGACCAATGTATACATGAATAACTATCAAAGGAAGGAACGGCACATATTAGTAAATCGAGTAATAATTTCATTGCGTATCATTTACATCAATAAATATTAATGGGACACAGAACCGAATAGACAGGTACGAAGACACTAAAAATGGAATGAGATTTGTGATTGTTGATGGTGAGCCAACGCACTCAAATGAAAAAGATTAAAAAAAAACAATTACGTACATAAAATAGTTCACTGTTACAGTATAACCACGTAAGTTCAACAGATGATTCAATCATCAAAATACTAATATACGAAGACATTAAATATCTTGAAACAAGAAAGTAAGTTAGCAAAAATAAATGACTAAGACTAAAGGCTATACAATGATCGTAAATTTATTTCTTTTGTACTAATCCTTTTGATTATAAATATAATTTTTTTTACATCCCAATGAGTAGGAAATTGTATTTTTGACGTTCACTGGCTTAATGTAAGCCAATTCTGAGTAAATAAATAACCGACATTGAATTAAAACAAGTTTAAATAGTACAAAGGAAACCATGAAGATTATTTTTAGTACAATCAAAATTATAATAGATCTGAATATGCCAATTTCTAGTTATTATTGGTTTAGATGAATTTGTATGACTTGTCACTGTATTGAATTTCGTGTCAGAAGGTGAGAATGAAGCAGTGAGATCCCCCGTGAGATCTTGACTCGCGCCAAGGAACACGTAGGTTACACAAAAAGGCCTCCTAATAATCCTTTATTACTGTAAAGTTTACAATTTAAATCAAAAATAGCAGTCCGGGCTATTTTCAGCAATCACTAAATTGATATTAAAAATATCAAAACAATTCAGAAAGGTTTCTCCAACTATAGAGACAGGCGAGTAGCCGAAGTGTTCCACATAATGCTAAATCCCTCTGCCCTCAATAAGAAAGAAGGCCTGAATATTTATTTAACCTAGAGTGTTTATCCAAACAACCATATTTGACCTTATTTATATTCCACACAATCTACACACACACAATTTCAGCCCTACTACTTTGTTTTTGGTGGAGTTTTGTTCTCTGAGCTGGATGGTTTGGTCCATCCAGCTCAGAGAACAAAACTCCACCAAAATCATCCACCTGAGCTACAAATCTTCTCCACAATCTACTACTTTGTTATAGCACATCAAAACAGTGCAATGAAATCTCAAATAAGTCATAGTGATTAAGGGGAGCCTTCGTAGTTATTGAAAAGAATGAAGTTTTCAGTAGAGTAACATTACTAATTTTTGTTCAATTTATCCACTTGTAAGCCAACCACCTTCGCAAAAACTAATTGTATCTGATTTATTTATTCTACTGGTTGTAATTGTCTTTATTTAGGATATTACAAGTTGCTTGTAAAGTAATCATTATTGGTACTGATGAATATAGGTATTGTAGTAGTTGTACAGTTGAGATTTGTAACATGCTAATTCAAAGATTAAACTCTTCACTCTAATAGATTGATTACATGTGACTTGGCAAAGAAAAATGAGATATATTTAAGTTTTGATCAATACTGATCAAGAGAACCTGTGGTATTTTGTAAAAATATGAAATTTAAGGATTTCGTTTAGTCAATACTTTGATTTTTATTTTATTTTAAGAAATAGTAAATAAGATTTAATTCAATGTTGAAAGTGAATTAATATTCGATATGAATGAAAAAGACTTTTACTCCTAATACTATTTATTAAATAAGTCAGTCTCAAATCATGTATTTTCATTACTTACAATGTGTGGGCGGCGATCAGAATTTTCATACTGATTAAAGTCTGGTATAGCACTTAAAATCCAATCATCTCGATATGACTCTGTAGGACTGACTGCTAGAAGAAAGAAGTGTGTTTTTTTAAAAACACCAAGTACTTTGTTCTCTAAATGACAGTTAATGCAATAGTTTGGTTATGTTGTTTGACGGACTATTGTTTACTATTTATATGTCTTTTAACATATATTTTTGCTGGAAATAGTGTTGTGATTGCTTTATTGTCTTAATCCGTAAGGTTAGTAGATCGGTTGTGTAGTATTAGTCTTGTAGTAGGTGTTTCTGTGAAGACACAGTTTCAAAACTGTTCGTCAATTGGACTGATTCTGTTTGTTTGAACAAGGCATTCCAGTCGTTGACCGTCCTTCAGGAGACGCAATCGACATTTATTCAACCGTAGATTTTAGAATTCTTTGTGTTAGCCTTTAAGATATTTAACTTTTTTAAAAAGCTTAAAAGATGAAATCTCTGTGAAACCTAAGTCACTAACATCATTGTTAGTCGAATACCACTGACTCCAATTGTTTCAGCTTAATCTAAACAAAAGAGTTACAAATGAATTACGTCTTGGATTTTTACTTTACTAACAAATTCGATTTCGGAAAGTCAGTGATTCACTTATCAAAAACTAGTAAATAATATTTTACATTTCAGGTCGGTGTATTACGTAACCTATCTGACGAAATACTTCTAAATCAACTACAAGCTAAACCTATTCTTAGTATATCTCAGCAACCAAGTTTCTTAATGAAGTCATTTGAAAATACGGTAAACAAATAATTATAAATTTTATAGTTATATTGAACGATAAGTTATTTTAAAGAGAGCAAGAACAAAGATTGGTGCAGAATAATATGAATTCATTTTATTTCGTTAGGTTCTCATCAGCTGCTTACAACCTAAATTATTTAAAATTCAACATTAATACAGATATTGACATATTTATATATAAGAGTGTGATTAAGGATCAATACATGTGTATGATGATGTAGCGAATATTCAGATAGAGTTAATGAGCTCATAAAATGTTTGATTCGAATAAATAAATAAATAAAGTTAGAGAGGGAAAGTTCCAGAACATTGAAATAGTGATTAGAACTCATGAAAATAGATTAATGGTAATAAAGAAAATATGAATTGAAATCAGCCAGTTATGTATGATGTAATTTAAACTTCAGAAAGAGTTGCAATAATGACGTAATAAATAAATAAATAGGAGCAAATTAGTAGAAAGAATGGGGGTTATTGTTACCAGGGTAAAGAAAAATTTATTACTGTCTCTTTTTGTATACATAGGTCTGGTTTTAAACGCTTGATTGCTAACGCTTTAGCGAATTTTAAGAGGTTCGAGTTTGATTGTTTGTTAATCACCTTGAAGGACTTCAGTATATCAGCTTTATGTCCTGTATCAAGGAGATGTCTGGCGATAGCACTGTTGAATGCGTTCTTTACCCTGGTAACAATAACCCCCACTCTTTCTATTAATTTGCTCCTATTTATTTATTTATTACGTCATTATTGTAACTCTTTCTGAAGTTTAAATTACATCATACATAATGTGATTTCAATTCATATTTTCTTTATACCATTAATCTATTTTCATGAGTTCTAATCACTATTTCAATGTTCTGGAACTTTCCCTCTCAAACTTTATTTATTTATTCGAATCAAACATTTTATGAGCTCATTAACTCTATCTGAATATTCGCTACATCATCATACACATGTATTGATCCTTAATCACACTCTTATATATAAATATGTCAATATCTGTATTAATGTTGAATTTTAAATAATTTAGGTTGTAAGCAGCTGATGAGAACCTAACGAAATAAAATGAATTCATATTATTCTGCACCAATCTTTGTTCTTGCTCTCTTTAAAATAATAAAGGGAACTATGTGTATGAGATAAGTTATTTGTTTAGAGGACAACACCTTCTAGACTTAATTAATTTTATGATACAATTTTTAAATAAGTCTAGTAAGTATTTATCCACGATCATTTGTTGTATCTCAAGGGGCAGCCGATTAGGTGGGCAGTGACTTATCGATCAGATCAAGGGATTAAGAATCTCGATAGACTATTCTGGCCCGTTGTCCCCGACTCAGCTAACGCGATCAGAAGTCTTTGTAAGGCGTAGGAAGTGTATTCTACAGGCAAACAGCAGATACCAGGTCAGGTCAAGCGCAGAAGTCAAGCGTATTTATACAAATATTTATAATCGATATTGTCACAGTAAAATGTTTTTAAACATTAATCAATAAGTTTATCAATCGACAGCTATTCAAATATTTAATCGATAATTTCGTCAATTGACTGCTATTTAAACATTTAATCGATAAGTTAATCGATAAGATGAAATTACAAACTATGAGTTTTGGGGATCTATTGTCCCCAACATCATTAATGAACCGGAATAGATGATTTCCATGGCATATCGATTCAAAATGTCTCTGAGAAGAAAATAAACACTGACTTCACAATTTCTTTTTTTATTAAAAAAGGAAATCTAGTTAGCCAGTCACTTTTAATATAACAGTCTATTTAATAATAAAGATACTTGAATGTTTTATCTCATGTTTCAACTAATGCATGGAAATTGTCTTAACTATGCACAAATATGAATAATGACTGACATAACAAATATCTTTTCGACAAACGTAAAACCACAATTTACATGTTACATCCTTAAATTCTATATGTCAAGGTAAAGTAAAGTGAAATATTTTACCATTGACTAATTTTTATGGGTAAACAGAAACTAAAGTGTGAAGATAGATAAGTACCATTTTCATTCAATTTGTCATTTCATTCAGTTAAATATGTAGGATAATAACTTGTAACAAAATATGGTTTTACGAATGGGAGGTGAATTACTGTTCTGTAGTTAAAATACTTTGTTACTCGAATGATTAAAATATATTTTACATCAGATAATGACTGATGTTCTCAAGTAAGGATCACTAGATTTGGGCATGAAAGGCTAAGTGGAGTCTTTTTCATCATTAGAACTGAGAGTAGAAGTTTCAGTCGCATATAGAGTTGTAGGTCTAAACTTCTACTTATTACCATGCAACGGTGAAATAGTTTTACGGTTCTCCTCGAATTTCAGAACTCCTCCTGATTAGGACCATTTGTAACAGAAACCGTTTACCCTCTCTTCAAATATTTTACATATGATTTAGTAAAATTTAATAGGATGTTATATCTTAACAATCAAAAACTGACGATTTCTTCCAGGTTATACTAACACCTGATGTAAGGCCTACTGACAGACGTTGTGTCTCCGAAAATTTACTACAAACAATGGGTCCATTATGGAATGAATATGCAAAAGAAGTAAGTCACTCCTTATATATTCAGTGGCTGACTGACTGACTATGTATATTAGTGGACTACAAGTGATCATTTACATGAATAAATGTTTGGCCCAGTCATTGTCACTTGTAATAAACCAACTCAACAATAAATGATTAGGTAGTTACCAGAGTCAAGTATTCAACTGTATTGATCAAGTTTACATTTGGCTGTAATTTCATATTTAACATAAAAAGTATCGAAATAATTTACACATTGTCTCGAAAGCAATAAACTCCGCCTGTAGCTCTCATAGGGTTGCTGCCGGTCCCAATCCCGGGTAAAGGAGGAGGGTTGGGCATGGGGTTAGCGTCCCCATCCCGTAGAAAACTAACTCGCTAAAAAAACGCTTACCAGAAAAAATAATCCAAACCATTTTAACTCTGCCCTGGGAGTTAGAAGATCTTCATTTAGAAGAATTATGACGCTTCATGGTGAAAGCCGAGTTCCTTCGGAAGCCACGAGGCCGATGCCCCTTCTAACAACCAGAGCAAAAATTTTTATAGGTACATGGAACGTTCGAACAATGTGGGAAACCGGGAAGACCAGTCAAATATCAATGGAAATGAGGAGATACAACTTAGCAGTACTGGGAATCAGCGAAACCCACTGGACCCAAGCTGGACAGAAAAGGCTAGCTACGGGAGAGATGCTGCTATACTCCGGTCACGAAGAGGACAATGCTCCACACACTCAGGGAGTCGCTCTTATGCTGTCCAAAGTAGCACGAAATGCACTTGTAGGATGGGAATCTCACGGATCCAGAATCATCAAAGCATCATTCAAAACAAAGAAGGAGGGGATCTTTATGAATATTATCCAATGTTATGCACCCGCCAATGATAGCAACGACGAAATTAAAGATCAGTTCTACGAGCGGCTGCAGTCAATCATTGAGAAATGCCCAAGAAAGGACCTAACTATTCTGATGGGAGATCTAAATGCCAAAGTCGGAATAGACAACACTGGATATGAAGATATTATGGGACGACATGGACTGGGAGAAAGAAACGAAAATGGAGAAAGATTTGCAAATCTAAGTGCATTCAACAAATTGGTCATAGGAGGCACAATATTTCCACACAAGCGTATACACAAGGCTACATGGATCTCACCGGACCACACTACAGAGAACCAAATAGATCATATTTGCATCAACAAAAAATTCCGAAGGACAATGGAAAATGTGAGAACCAGGAGAAGAGCTGCCATAGCTTCAGATCACCACCTAGTTGTAGCCAATTTGAAACTGAAGCTAAAAAAGAACTGGACAAGTGGACAAACAGCAATACAAAGGTTCAATACAGTCTTCCTTCGAGATACTGTCAAACTCAATGAATTCAAGATAGCTCTCAACAACAGGTTTCAAGCCTTACAGGATCTACTGAAAGAAGAAAAAACTACTATGGAGGACAACTGAAAAGGTATCAAAGAAGCATTGACTTCAACATGTCAAGAGGTTCTGGGTCTAAAGAAGCACCATCATAGGGAATGAATCTCTATAGAAACACTGGACAAGATCAAAGAAAGGAAGAACAAGAAGGAAGCAATAAACAACAGCCGAACACGAGCAGAGAAAGTCCAAGCACAAGCTGAATACATAGAAGCAAACAAGCAAGTGAAGAAAAGCATTAAAGCCGACAAGCAGAAATACATGGAAGAACTAGCAACGACGGCGGAAAAAGCTGCAAGAGGAAATATGAAACAGCTTTACGATACAACGAAGAAACTAGCAGGGAAATATAGTAAACCAGAGAGACCGGTCAAAGACAAAGAAGGCAAGCCAATCACCGAAATTCAACAACAGCGTAACAAATGGGTAGAATACTTCGAGAAACTCCTGAATAGGCCGGCTCCAATGAATCCACCGGACATCGAAGCAGCACACATAGATCTTCCTATAGATGTCAATCCACCAACTACGGAAGAAATTAGAATGGCCGTCAGACAAATCAAGAACGGGAAAGCAGCAGGACCCGACAACATACCAGTTGAAGCACTGAAATCAGACGTCGAAGTAATCACAAGCATGCTTTACCTTCTATTCAAAAAGATTTGGGAGGAGGAACAAGTGCCGATGGACTGGAAAGAAGGACACCTCGTCAAGATTCCAAAGAAAGGAGATCTGAGCAAATGTGAAAACTACAGAGGCATAACACTACTGTCAATACCAGGGAAAGTCTTCAACAGATTGTTGCTGAACCGGATGAAGGATGCAGTAGACGCCCAACTTCGAGATCAACAAGCTAGATTCCGTAAGGATCGGTCGTGCACAGACCAAATTGCAACACTACGGATCATCGTCGAACAATCAGTTGAGTGGAACTCATCACTATACATCAACTTCATTGATTATGAAAAGGCATTCGACAGTGTAGATAGGAAGACATTATGGAAACTTCTTCGACACTACGGAGTTCCTGAGAAGATTGTCAATATTATCCGGAACTCATACAATGGACTACAGTGCAAAGTAGTGCATGGAGGACAGCTGACAGATGCATTCCCAGTAAGAACCGGAGTCAGACAAGGCTGTTTACTCTCTCCCTTCCTCTTTCTTCTGGTGGTCGACTGGATTATGAAGACCTCAACATCTGAAGGAAAACATGGAATACAATAGATAGCTCAGAATCAATTAGACGATTTGGCCTTCGCAGATGACCTAGCCCTCCTATCACGTACACACGAACAGATGCAGATGAAAACAGCCAGTGTAGCAGCAGTCTCTGCATCAGTAGGCCTCAGCATACACAAAGGGAAAACTAAGGTCCTCAAATTCAAAGCGGAGAACAGCAATCCAATCACTCTTGATGGCGAAACTCTGGAAGATGTAGAGTCCTTCACATACCTGGGAAGCATCATCGATGAACAAGGAGGTTTAGATGCAGACGTAAAGGCGAGGATCGGCAAAGCAAGGGTCGCATTCCTACAATTGAAGAACATATGGAACTCGAAACAACTTTCAACCAATATCAAAGTAAGAATCTTCAATACGAACGTCAAGGCAGTTCTACTGTATGGAGCTAAAACTTGGAGAACTACAACAACCACAATCAAGAAAGTACAAGTATTTATAAATAACTGTCTACGCAAGATACTCAACATCCATTGGCCGGAGACCATCAGCAATAGCCTTCTCTGGGAGAGAACAAACCAACTTCCAGCTGAAGAAGAAATTAGGAAAAGACGATGGGAATGGATAGGACATACACTACACAAATCGTCAAACTGCATCACGAGACAAGCCCTAACTTGGAATCCTGAAGGGAAGCGAAAAAGAAGAAGACCAAAGAACGTAATACGTCGGATAATAGAATCAGATATGAAAACGATGAATTACAACTGGACGGAGCTAGAAAGGATTGCCCAGGACAGGGTTGGATGGAGAATGCTGGTGAGCGGCCTATGCTCCTTCACGAGGAGTAACAGGCGTAAGTAAGTCAGTAAGTCGAAAGCAATAATTTCATCTTATCTTTGTGAGGTTCTACTCTTGAAAATATATTCGATTTTGCTTGACAAGACGAATGGCAAAGTACCTACAATCACTAAGACACTTTAGTTTTTTTAAGATCAGTGATAAATGAAAGAAATGTGAATAAGACCATTTCTGTGAACATAAACAGTTGATAGTAGCAATATTTAATCTATTTGTGTTAAGATAAATTTAGTGGAGGTATTTTGCGACAGATTTTGATTCAGTGGTTGAAGTAGTCTATACAGTATTATTAAACTTAACATAATAGTTGCCCCCACGATAATGTATGTATAAATATATAAAGCAGAATTGGTATGAACTAATGTTACTATATAGAATGAAGTGGTCGTGATTGTTGACCACTTCATTCATCTTGGAAGTTATCTAAACGCTTCTGTATTTGTAGTTGATGAAATTTTGAAAGGAGTGCAAAAGATTTGTTTCATTGTTGTCAACTTGTTCCATTTTTGAAACAAGTAAAATATTCATCGTCCTGTCGATTGGAAAATATACTGAACAGTAGTTCATTCTGCATTGATCTGTTGTTGGGAAACATAACTTATTAAAGTAATTTGGAAATATTCGACCACGATTATTTTTGATGTATTTTTAGTTTATTCTGTTGTTCTGTTGATGCTCAGCTTTAACAGACACTGGTCATTGAATGACATGCTGTTAGTTATCTTTGATTTATTACTCGGTGAATGCTTTAATATGATAAATAACTATGTTTTTTTGTTTTGGAAAAACATTGTTTGGCAATAAATATATAATAATATATTGAGGTTGATGAAGAAACTGACATTCAATTGGATAGAAATTTGCCTATTCTTGATGAAAATGATGAAATCTTTACTAATCTTATCAATACAATCGCAAAAGATTTCAATGAGATGAAATTTACCAGTGTAAGTTACAACATATTTGTGTAATTTTAACTCGTACTTTCATTGCATCTGTAATAACTTTGAAAAGAATAATAATTCTCGAGTTTGTTGGATTAAGACATGCCACCAAATTATGGATCTATAAGCATTACTTCAGGTCATGTAAATATAATATTATTTTACTGCCTTATGCTTTTAATAAAAGATAACAGAGAAGGTGAATGAATCTAAGTGATATGTAAAAAGGAGAAACCATGTTAGTGCAAACATAATCAGTTCTTATCGGAGTTGTTGAATATTCAAAATAATAAATGATTTGTGATTATTTGAAAAATCTGAAGGTAATTTCCGTCATTGACTGAAATTAAGTGGGAAATTCGTGATATTCAGATGAAATCAAATACTTACAGATCCGACAAAACAAAATTCAAGATTATCCACAGAGACGGTGATTTAGCTATGAAATTAAACAAAATACAATATAAACATTAAATAGTGAGATCTCTGAAGTATTGACTGAGTTCTTACACAATCAAAGAACAATACTTTCCAAAATATATATACAGAGTTATTTATATCGACATGCGATATATGGCAGCTAATATCTGTGTCGGAATCTTAGTAGCAGACAATTTTAAGATGATGAAAATTGCAAACGTATGAAAACTGTCACAATATAGCCGACATTCGACAGATATACTAGGGTTGAAAATATATATAGCAGGTATCAAAAAGATGTGATTACAACCATAAATAAAGTGAATATTGTCAGCTGATGTTAATAATCAAGAATATCAGAAGACAACCGAAAAGTCACATTGGACGCTCAAAAGGTATTAGAGATGGGAAGGGTTCCTGAAAATAATAAATAGAATAGAGGAATATACAAAACGAAGTCGGACATAAAGAAAGTAAAGATATAGAATGAAAAAGAACTTAACACCGATAACGTCGAATGATATTTACTACGTACAGTCCACCAATTGAATTTGCAAAGAGTGAACTATGAGAATCCATATTAAATGTAAAATAATAAAATTCCCAGTGCTAAATCTGAAGATTTCAGATAGTATATTATCTGTTTACACGTTAGAGAGCTCATTACTTACTTACTTACTTACGCCTGTTACTCCCTGATGGAGCATAGGCCGCCAACCAGCATTCTCCAACCCACTCTGTCCTGAGCCTTCTTTTCTAGTTCCATCCGATTCTTGTTCATTTTTCCCATGTCTATCTCCATTTCCCGGCGTAATGTGTTCTTTCATCTTCCTCTTTTCCTTTGGCCTTGTGGATTCCATGTGAGGGCTTGTCTTGTGACGCAGTTGGGTGCTTTCCACAATGTGTGTCCTATCCACTCCTAGCGCTTCTTCCTGATTTCTTCCTCCGCTGGGATCTGGTTTGTTCTCTCCCACAGTAGGTTATTGCTAATAGTGTCCGGCCAATGGATCTGAAGTATTTTGCGTAGACAACTGTTAATAAACACCTGTATTTTCTGGATGATGGCTTTCGTAGTTCTGCAAGTTTCCGCCCCAGCAGACAGTAGAACTGTCTTGACATTTGTATTGAAAATCCTGACCTTGGTGTTGGTTGACAGTTGCTTTGAGTTCCAGATGTTCCTCAGTTGTAAATATGCTGCTCTTGCTTTTCCGATCCGCGCCTTCACATCTGCATCAGATCCACCGTGTTCATCAATGATGCTGCCCAGATATGTAAAGGTCTTTACATCTTCCAAATCTTCTCCCTCAATTGTGACTGTATTGGTGCATGCTATGTTGTATCGGAGAACCTTGCTTTTCCCTTTGTATATATTGAGACCTACTACTGCTGCTACACTGGTCGTCTTCTCCTGCATTTGTTGTTGCGTTCGGGAAAGAAGGGCCAGATCATCTGCGAAGTCTATATCGTCCAACTCCATCTTAGATATCCATTGTATCCTGCGCTTCCCTTCAGATGTTGACGTCTTCATGATCCAGTCGATCACCAGGAGAAAGAGAAAGAGTGAGAGTAAGCAACCTTGCCTAATACCGGTCTTTACTTCGAACGACTTTGTCAACTGTCCTCCATGCACAATTTTGCAGTGTAATCCATCATATGAATTCCGTATGATATTGACTATCTTTTGAGGCACGCCATAGTGTCGAAGAAGCTTCCATAGTTTTGTTCTGCCCACGCTATCAAATGCCTTTTCGTAGTCAATGAAGTTGATGTAGAGTGATGAATTCCATTCAATTGATTGTACCACAATGATTCGTAGAGTTGCGATTCGGTCTTTACATGACCTATAGAGTGCTCATTTCTGATGAGTTATAAGTAGGTAGGAACAAATATAAACTTTCTCCTTGCTTTCGGTAAATCAACGAATGATTTCAATCAGAAATAAGAATATCTTCTTAAACATCTTTAATTACTATTAAGCAAAGATGGTTAATGGCTAGCAGTGGAATCTAGGACAAAGCGCATTTCGTCCTGTTTGGGACTCGTCAGCCGGATGTACCTGCATCCCAGAGTTGATATTCACTCCGAGACTCAAACCCAGCATCATTTGCTCCAAACGCCATCGCGTTATCCACTTAACTACTGAGACTGATCAATTGCAGTTTTAAATAACAATGTAAAGATACAAGTAAAACGACACCAAACGAATCTTTAATTACTGTTTAAGAGATATTATAGTATTAATGAGGAAGAAAAAACTAACAAAATCACCATTTTTTAGGCAATGAAGTGATTGTTTTCTGTATGATCTTTCTACATAGGATTTTCATACTTTTATATCTTATCTATAGCTTAAGTAAATTCACTTTTAGTAAATATATATCACTCGAAATTCAAAACCTTTGCTTAACTTTATAAAATCACTAATTATTTTGAATTCTTTATCATAGATTACACAATGATAACCTGTTATTTTCGTTTTACAACTTATAAGTTGAATCACTATCCAGTTCAAACATTTTATAACGATTTTTTATTTGGATTATCAATGTTTAATGTAAAACTAGTATTTACATTATATCATGTAAACAACCTTTCAATATTTAATTGTATAAATAGTAATATACTGTTTGATGGATTTACTGATCATAAACCTTCCAAACAAACATCTTTAAAAGTTCTACAGTCAATGATTTTTCAGCTCATGATATACCATTGTATAAAAAGAATCCAATGTTGTTACATACAGGTACATAGAGCTAAGATATTTTGACTTATTCTCAATCAATTTTGATAATGCTCTTTTTTTGTTTCTTTCTTAATTATATAAATATCATTATATACAAATTAAGGATAATGAAAATTTTAAATTCTTTGAAATACCAGTTCCTGATGAGATAGACATGAAACCAACTTATGAAACAGCTTGTCAACTATTCAATAATAATTCTAAATCTGTACTTACGAACCTCAGTCAATCATTTTTAATGGATAAATCAAAATGGACTTTACCGTAAGTGATAACAAACTTTGATTAGTTAATTTAATCTGAAGCCAAAAGCATTCAATTGCCAGAAATTTTTTTAGTACAAAACTTCATTCATATTTATGTTTAAAATGTAAAGATTTTTTAGGAGTTAATACTTTGCAGTAACAATATAAGCTCTATCTCATTGAGCGGAGAGTTTTTTTCGTAATTAACTGATCAAATAATTGATGGAAGCGATCAATAGTTCTGTATAAATCAACCCAGTTAAGACATCATAAGAAGAAGATAATGACTTTTGTATATAACACAACAAACATTTCAAACAAAACTACTCACAGTAACGTTTTTCTTTGTTTTACCTAACAGAATTTTGAAGTTGCACACTGATGAAGATGAAACTATGTTTCGAAGAACAAAAACACTGGTAATTTACAAAACGTTTTGAATGAATATTCTAAATATTTCGTTTTAATAATAAGGGACGTTTATCACAATGAATAGAATTATTACATCAATTCTTTTAAGTATATAACTTAGTTATAGTATAGTTATTATCATGCAACCAAAGTGATTAATATTAGTACTACTGTATACTGTTAGAATTGTAGCTCAATAGTTGAAGTATAAATTATTTCTTAGCTCTAATCATTTTGTGTTAATGATTACTGTGATAACCAAACAGTCGACTCTGTATTGTACAAGAGTGGTTGATAATGAACAGTTTTTAGTCATTTTCAGGAAAGCGATATCCAAATCTCAACTTAACAAATTTTCAAAACCGAAACCAATACTAAAGTCATCGCATAAATTATTAAGACATTCAAGCGCCTAATTTACGTAAATAATATTCAACCGAGATAATATGGTTGATTCAATCTTTACATAAAACAATGGTTAATCAGAAATACAAACTAATAAATCGATGGTTACTGATATTTCTCCTGCCAAATCAACAGAACTAGCAACTTACACTCACTGATTAATCTTTATGTAACTAAAAAAAGTAACTAGAAAGTAGGTTTTCACCATGTTTGTTGTTTATATGTTACATTAGTTAAGTTTTAAAGGCATCTATCATATGAAGTTTACCATAAGTCAGTTTATTAACTATTTTCCATTTGCTGAAATTACCACTCGTCTTATTATTATTATGATGTATTCACTTTAGCCAAGTAGTAAACTGGATGAATTATTTATTCATGAAGTAAATAAATACAAAAAACGAAGTGAAAAAGTTGAAAATATATCAGTTGACAATTTTAATGAAAAATATGAGAAAACTTTAGCAGAATTAAAAAATGAAGAACAAAAATTCAATAAGTGAGTACTTCAGAAAAAAATCACTAGTCAGTCATTTTTTTTCTTTTCTAAGACAAACTCAGAGTTGACTTATTTAGAATTGTAATAAGATGTATGTCCCTAACTTGGAATCCTGTAGGGAAGCGGAAAAGGGGAAGGCCAAAGAACACATCAGTAGGCCTCAACATACACAAGGGGAGAACCAAGGTCCTCAAATTCGAAACGGAGAACAGCAATCCAGTCACTCTTGATGGCGAAACTCTGGAAGATGTAGAGTCCTTCACATACCTGGGAAGCATCATCGATGAACAAGGAGGATCCGATGCAGACGTAAAGGCGAGGATCGGCAAAGCAAGGGTCGCATTCCTACAATTGAAGAACATATGGAACTCGAAACAACTTTCAACCAATATCAAAGTAAGAATCTTCAATACGAACGTCAAGGCAGTTCTACTGTATGGAGCTAAAACTTGGAGAACTACAACAACCACAATCAAGAAAGTACAAGTATTTATAAATAACTGTCTACGCAAGATACTCAACATCCATTGGCCGGAGACCATCAGCAATAGCCTTCTGTGGGAGAGAACAAACCAACTTCCAGCTGAAGAAGAAATTAGGAAAAGACGATGGGAATGGATAGGACATACACTACACAAATCGTCAAACTGCATCACGAGACAAGCCCTAACTTGGAATCCTGAAGGGAAGCGAAAAAGAAGAAGACCAAAGAACGTAATACGTCGGATAATAGAATCAGATATGAAAAGGATGAATTACAACTGGACGGAGCTAGAAAGGATTGCCCAGGACAGGGTTGGATGGAGAATGCTGGTGAGTGGCCTATGCTCCTTCACGAAGAGTAATAGGCGTAAGTAAGTAATAAGATGTATAAATCCACACTATGGATAGTTTATTGAATGTAACCAATAGTGTGTAGTGTCGGTTGCTATGCTAAGCCCACACAGCTTATTTTAGCTTTCGGATACACTAGTTTATTTATTCGTCTGGAGTCGCATTTCGACCTTGTCAATTATTCGCTTATCCACCTTGACTTTTGATACGAGCGTATGTGTGTGCACTTATCCTATTCGTCACATGTTTGTAATTTATTTTAGTTCGGCTATAAATATCGATTAACGTTTGATTAAATTGAATTGGTTAACATGCCTTCTCTATCGCTCATCGTTTTGCCTCGGTCTCTTAGCTTCCTACTTTCGCTCGTTTGTCTGGATCAACAACTGTACGAAATATACTCATTCAAAAATCCATTCTCGTATTTGACTTGTGTTAATTCCGTTATCCACTAACGCGAGTTCCGTCGATAATTATATGCAAGGATTGGTGACATGTATATTTCGATAATAATCATACATACGATCTAAGTGGAGTCAGATATTAGACCACTAAAAGTGTACGAAACAGAGAAAGAAATTTACTTTTATCTAGCAGATGTTTAATTACAATACACTATGTGAATACTAATGAATAAAATTTGATTACTTAAAGTTGTCGAGTTAGAGTTTGAAAATGTCCCATTTTGATTGTAAGTTAAATTATTAAAACATTAAGCTAAATATTCATAGAACAATTTGTACAGAATACTGCAGTTCTATTTAGTAATTATTGACATTTATTAATTCATCATATCCAAGGCGTGCAAAATCCCTACTGACACACCAAAAATCCAAGTGCCTCTTAATTAGCATTTTAGAAAAGAGATTTTTTCAGTCGACTATTTTAATTTTACATTATTCTTTTGTTTTAGTAAATCAATTATACTTGATCATTCACTTGGGCACTGCAGTCACGCTCTCAGTTCACTAAGACCACCTCTAATCCAATTTTCTTTTCAGGTACCTCCAAAAGAACCCTTCCACGGTGTGGGAAACCGGGAGGTGATAACCGCCCTCATACCTCTAACAACACTCAAGACCACTGTATTCATAATCACCTTCTTTCTTCAGTTCTTATTTATTAAACAGTATAATTCCATTTAAACTGCAAAGCTTCTCCATCTGTTATTTACATCTGAACGTTTTTGTTCGTTACATCATTTCACTTAATTAATAATAAATAACTACACAATTCATGATCTACAATTAAGAAGCAAATAATAGACTGTACAGTAATTTCAGTCAAGACAAATATCAACAGTTCATACACAAAGTATTGTCTACAATCAAATAAAAAAAAAATAATTTTAAGGTGAATATTTATACTACAACTGGCCTGTTTGTCTATTCTCATCAACCAATTACAGACGTGAATAGTAAATTACCATACATAGAATTGTATTATGTATACAAATATATATTCATCATATAAACCATGCTATATACTTGGTGTTTCTTTAATTTTAATTTGACAACAATATATCAACCAAATATTAATTTATCATGCCGATAAAAAAAACTAATCGAATGGCATCATTTACAACGTGTACAGTTTTAAGCTAAAAAAATATTGATATAATCTTTCTTTAAAATATAAAATGGATCACTCTTGTAGATTCTGAAAAATTTAACCATATAAACACGGATTATTTAACTACTCATATGAGTAACTGTAGTTCATATTTTCTTAACTTGGTTCATTCAAAACAAAGTTAAATGACTAGATTACAGATATAATAATTTATACCATTAAAGATTGTATGAATTTTATTTGGCTATTTCTTCATTTATTTATTTACTCTGAAGAAATGTTTTACATTAAGTCACAGAATATCAAAAATTTTCATTTCTACAAATTGTGATATCAGACCTGTTTATTTTTGATTGGTCGCATATAATTTTGATTTGGTTATTCATTCTCTGAAGAAGTGGTTTACACTGAGTCATGAAACGTCAGAAAATCTAATTTTTTTTTACTCATTGGGATATTACAAATATATTAATTTATTTGGAAATATGTAATTGTTTTATTAATAATATTCGAGCCAATACCCAATTGATTTGAACTTATCAAGTCAAGCTTTGGTATTAATACCTATAATATCTTAGAGATTATATTAATAGTAGTAATGTTTGATGTATTCTGTTTATTGATATTTGTATACTTCAATACATGGCATAATGTTGTAATATGGTGTTTGATGTACAACAGTTCAAATAATGTGGACTTGAATTGTGTGCTTTCTAATACATATATGACAGAAACAATTCATCTGTAGCTTGGTGTTTTGTTTAGTTTCTTGTTGGTTGTCTATAATTGATTAACAATTCATTCAAACAAATATTTGTCAACTACTTCTAACTATAGGTAATTAAATTTTTCATTCCTCAATTTTAGCCATAAACAATGTATTTTTTCTTAAAAAAACTTGTTATTTCTTTAAGTTGTATTGTATGTATGTTCTTCAGATTAAAACAAAAGTTAATAATATGTCAGTACAAGTCCAATGAAGTGCCGTTGTGGAATACAAGCAATGATATGATAGTTAATAATGACAGTAGTAAGTGAACAAATACGTTGTAACTTTACATAAGTAATTTTCAATATTTATTATTCAGGTAATCTGTGTTTTGAAGATAAAAATATGTTGCTGAATGTTAAGTTAGTAAAAAAACTTTGTACTTTTTATTTCACGTACTATTTACTAATAATGATTATAACGTTAACCAATCACCGCATAATCTTGTAAATTATAACTGATTCTTATCATTTTCATTTCAAACAAGAATATCTGTCTTTTTAACTTTTGTTTTCCCCAAATCAAACATAACAGTCAGTTAAACATTTAAACAGAGATGAATGATAGCTACCAGCGAAATCTAGGATGCGTGTTTCATCTTATTCTAGACTGGTCAGCTGGATGTATATGGATCCCAGAGCTGATGTTCACTCTGGGACTCGAAACAAGTGCTGTTAGCTTCCAGAGACAGCATATTTTCCGCTTAGCTATTAAGTCTAGTTAGCCAGTGGCTATTGATATCAAGTGGATTTTAATTCATATATACTGGTTGTTTACATCTCCCATTGATGTTTAGGACTGCGTAAAATGCCCATGACTTATTGGAAATATCGAGTCAATCCAAACAGGATTCACTTATGTCAAAAAGTGACTGATCTATTGCAGTTTTAATCATTGATGAGAAGATCCAAACAACCAATATATATTAGTCAATTATATAGTCGAAATAATACTGCGAAGTCATTACAATCAGTGATTTGATTAAAATAATAATCTGAGATTGAAATTCACCCAGAGATTACCAGTAATTTCACAGAGATACATTGTTCTTCTCCACTACGATATAAATACATACTCGGTCAACTGTATGATCCAGAGCAAAAAATTTTAATATTTTACTGACTTAATAATATGGAAATATAAGTTTACTTAATGAAACTACCTGTAAGAATTTTTTATTTTCCAGTTGTTGATACTTAAGACTGCATTTAATGACCCTCAGTGGGTACCCCCATATTGTCTGTAGTTAAGATAAGAGTATCAAGATAAGACAAATGTAAACCTTTGAGAATACCTTCATACACAATGAACAAGATATTGGCTATGTTGAGTCAACAGGTTAATGGAAAATACGTTTGTGTTTAAAATTATGTATACTAGATTTGAGTTTCTGTGTGAATATTAGCATTGAGTCATAACTATTTCTAGTAAACGATTAGCAAACAAAAAATCGTGGATCCTAGAATCTACAGCTGTTCAACAAAACAAAAATGTCCAACAAACCTTTCATAAAATCCACGATCTCGCACCCCGCGAGATTCGAACCAAGGACCCAGGAGTACCATACTAAGACGAAACGGCCGTCCAGTGCTTCCAGGTTTTCCATGGTTGTCTAGTTACAATTGACTCATGATTTCAATCTGTGAAATTTCTAAAATCCCCACAAACCCCTTCTTTCATAAAATATCCATCAGTTGTTTTCTTTTAGTATATGATCTATCTGTAGTGAAAAACCGGCTACGTTAAAAAGGTTAGAATCCACATACATTGATCAAGATACTACTCAAAAATTAATCTTAAATTTAGCGATACACACTTGATTGATGTGAGTCCGTATTATGAGGCAAATGTCATCGATCGTAAAACTATTTCGATTAAAACTTAATTTACTTTACGCATCATGTCTTTTAGGTAAACTTTCAGAAAAATCAACTGAAAACTGGTTTTTTAATAAAAAATTAATCATTGTTTAATTCGTTGATTTTTTAGATAAATGGTTTAAATGTTTCTGTCCTCAACAAATAAACTGAAGTCTCTCTGAATTGATATTTTCCGGAGTCATGAATCCACATTGCTGAGATGTACCAAACCGTAGTGAAATGTTTTCTCCCTATTACTATCTGATCTTTAAATGTTCTCCAAGTGATGTCTATTCGGAAGGCAAAGTATTTAGAAAAAATGAAATCCAATTAGTTGTAACATTTTGAACTTTACCTTATCCTATGATAAGGATTTACAAAATATTTCCAGGCTTCTGTTTCCTTTAGAATGTTAATAGTTGCATTCATAACTCGACATAAGCTAGACCACTATTGGAAAACCGGATACACTGGACGGCCGTTTCATCCTAGTATGGGACTGCTTATCAGTGACCTTTCACGATCCCGCCCGCAAGATTCGAACCCAGGACCTTTGGTTTTACAAGCAAACGCTTAACCTCTAGACCACTGAGCTGGCCGGCATTCAACGGTGTTAATATTTAACTTCGATTGATTCATGATAAACCGTTCATCCATTGTCTGAGGTGGGTAACTGTCTGCACCCGACACCGATTGAACTCCACTGGTCACGGCTTCTCATGAATCGATTGACAATAAACATTAACACCGTTAAGCGTTCACTCACGAAACCGAAGGTCCTGGGTTCTAATCATGCGCGCGGGATCGTGGACACACTGCTGAGCAGTGTTATACTAGGACGAAAGAGCCGTTTAGTTGTCCCAGATTTCCAATGGTGGTATAGCTTACATCGACTCATGAATTCAACTGTTAAAATTACTATAACCTACACACTCCATTGTGGTCTTTTAGAATTATCTTAGGATTCGTTCTTTTCATTTTTATTTTAATAACAATAATAAAATGTTTGCCTTTATCCATAGTATGACTTAACTATACTACATCATTGCCTACTTTTTGTATTCAGGTGACTATGAGTTGTTAAACAATTGTGAAGAAAAAATCAATTTACTCAAACTTAATTTGATGAATTTAATTAATACTTCACCAGTTTGTAGTATTTACAAGACTGGCAAAGAAATGGTATGTCATATTCATTCATACACAAGGTTATTTATTTAATTTCAATAAATTTATTATTGAATGTGAAATACTTTATCGAATATACAATACATCGTCAATTATTTTTGTATTTGATATTGGTTTGGTAGATCAAACCATCCAGCTCAGAGAACAAAACTCAGTCAAAATCATTCACCTGAGCTACAAATCTTCTCCACTATCTCGATAGCATTAAACGCTTAATGATAATAACTAAATCTAATAAAATATAGAACAAACTAAAGTAACTATATTTAATATTCAAAACATTTAACTCTGTGCTTGTAAATGTACAAATATTGTATTATTTACTTATATGGTATGTGTTTGTGAATCATATAACAGATTTATTGAAGATTAAAGAGAATTACCGAATCTTTTTTTGAACAGTTAGGATTTAGTATTCAGTTTTTATTCTATTTGAAACTTATCAATCTGATAAATCTGTATTAAGAGTTCCACTGTTGATAGATGCTGTATATTGATAGCTTCTTAACACTTTATATACATACTGTTTAATGAATATAAACCTACGTATATTAGTATAAAATGATGATAACCTCTGTTAGAACTTCTATTTCTTTTTGTTCTACAACTAATCAACTTATCGTACAATATACAATTTGAATATGATATTTTATCAGCAATAATCAACATCTTGTTTCAATGGAACAGAAGTATAGTTTTACTATATTCTTTTTTATGAAAGAAACAACCCTTCATTAACTTTAATTGTATTCTATATCTTATTTGTAGTGTGATCATAAGTTAAACAGTATAAGAAATACAATTCAACAAAGATTTCTTGTTGTATGGAATAAATTAAAACTTACTGAAAATGAAAAACAATCTTGTTTATTGAAATTTTGTTGGCAACATATGAGTGATACTATTTATATGGCAAATATGAATAAAGCATTAAACTTATTGGAATATGCAGCGAAATATATTGAACGTCGTGAAATGTTATTACATAAATTAGCAAAAATTGAAATTGAACATTTAATTCAATCAAAAAATTATAGTTTAAGTAAGTTGGGTAAAAAAATGTTTAAAAATATTTAAACTTCTTACAGTCAATAGAAACAATTAAATTTCGTTTATTTATTAATTTTTTTGTTTATTTCATGGTTTTATATCTACAATTGGTTCTGTTAAATGAGATACAGATAGAATAAGAATCTAAAATAAGATTTTACATTAACTGATATGTAACTTTTGGAAATTGACAATCACTAGATAGATATTTCGATTTCGATGAAATACTTCTCAGTAATATAAATCCTTAATCTTGAATTAATATTTAACAAATTACTTTATTATCACCTAAAATGTCACTTCATTTTTAACTGATTCATTTAAAATCTATTCAGTTTAAATTCGATCAGTTGAAAGTATGGTATGATTAATTTCAATAATTGACAAGGTTTAACCATACTTGACTCAGTTGATAGTGTGTTATATTATAATAAGAATCAAATTCTAAAAGTATGATTATTTGCTACCTATTTCAACTAATCTTCATAATAAACTAGTATTTCTGTGTCATTAGTTTTGCTCTTAGCGTTTCTAGAATTTCACTTTTCTTATTTCGATATCATATGAAAATGAGATATATTTGTAATAATTAACTGTTCACTGCGTTCTTCTTGAAAAGCTTAATAATAAAAATTATATTGACATATATCTGTTAAATGTTTTGGTAATTCTATTGGTTAATGTACAAACACTGCTACTTGTTCTTTTAACATCTTGTTAGTTTAATATCCGATAGAATCCCCAGAGATTAAAATGTTGCCTCTTTTCAAAATTACAGTTAGATTTCTCGTAAATCTGTATCATTTGTTTTTTTCTCAAACGAATAGCTCTAAGTTATGTATATTTCTTTCAACACGATATTGACAATTTAATTTCGATTCCCCTCAAACATATACAACTTCAGGTTTCCTTGTGATGTGTTGCAATTTTCACGCTATAGCTTATCATTAAGGTTATGCCATGAAGAAGATCCTACCTAAAAGTTTTCTGTTCCCATAAACCCTTTAACGTTTTGTATATGACGCGAAACATTAAATCGTAAAAATCTGAATTTAGTCAGTCCTAATTTATTTTTGATACATTTTTTGCACTTCATCAACCAAGGTAACTAGGACATGTGTTTCAAATAAATGTCAACCACCTGACCCAACACTATGCTAGATTGAAAAAGCAATAAGGACAACCTGAAAAAGACATATTATTAGATAATAAATTTACTAACTGTTAGTCAGAATTCAGATTCAGTAGCAACACCGAAGACGATTTTACTATTTATCGAACCCCTAATTGTAAAATTTTATTCTCACTCTATCCTGAGATAGTGAAGATTTGTAGCTCAGGTGGATGATTTTGGTAGGATTTTGTTCTCTGAGCTGAATGGTTTTCTCGTGAAGCTTTCATCGTTCTTCTGAACGACATCACCAGCACAAACTTCAGGTAAACATGAAATGTTCGAATTTCTCCACAAGTGGTTCACAGCTTGTTCTGTAAACCTCGATGTTGTCAACAAGGTCAACAAGAACCAATCAACATCGAGGTTTACAGAACAAGCTGTGAACCATATGTGGAGAAATTCAAACACTTCACTTCTACCTGAAGTTTGTGCTGGTGATGTCGTTCAAAAGAACGATGAAAGCTCCACGACCAAACCATCCAGCTCAGAGAGCAAAACTCTACCAAAATCACTCTATCATAATCGTTCTCCAAGTCCACTTAACCGTTTTAAATTAAAGGTCTTATTATTAGCTTTATTATTTATCACTAATACGTACTCATGATTCACTATGAAACTAAACCTAATAACATAACGTTATATGGCAGGCATAATAATAACCATATTCATAGTATTGTAGTAAACATGACACGAGTGAGGACGACCGAATGTATTTGTCTCGATATTACATAGCATCCCAATAAAATCTGAGAACCATATAGTAAATAGTTAATTTGCAAAATATCAATCCATCGTCTCAAACTTCACTGTTACTTTTGCAAATATCAGTCCATTGTCTCAGATTTTATTGTTCATGCATTTTCATACCAATTGCGTTCCGTTTCCATTCTTCCCTTATCGATCTTCTAGCGAAATATATTCTATACCTGACCACCATCATATACTACTTATATGGATACAAGTAACCCACACCACAGTATCATCACTTAGCGATCTGATCATAACAAAATGAAATATAGAAAAAAAACAGCTCAATGAAATCAAATAAGATAGTTCTATAATGTTCCAATCTATTTAATTGCATGTAATTATAAGTAAATAAATAAATTCTTTTGCAATAATAAACTATTCATTACCATCATATTGTCTAGTTGTGATATCATAGAATGTTTGTAGTTCTACTGAATTTTTACTCTTTAGAATTGATTCAATAAATTATATGAATGAACTAAGTTATTAATTGAATATTTCACTACTATATTAGATGATAATCATTTGGAATTGAAATGTTCAGATGAACGTTATAAAGTTGATAAGGTAAATATTATTATTGATTTTTCTTTATTTGAATTATATATTTATATTAATCACTTATTGTTTAGTAACCCGATAACTGATTCCAATTACATCGTATGAATGTCATTGAAATATATATGTTATCTATCCTTGTATAAAATTATCAACTTAGATCACGTTAGTGAATAATGGAATTAAACAAGCCAAATACGAGAATTGATTTTGAATATGTGTATTTCATGCACTCATCGATTTGATCAGGCAATCAGGAAATGAAGCGAAAGGACGTGCAGTGGAGAAGGCAAATGAACCAGCTTTCATTTAATCGAACAGTAATTTATATTTATATTCAGACAAAAATAGGCTACAGACATGTGATGAGTAAGGATAAGATGTACACAGGCGTACGCTCATATAAAACAGTCAGGGTTGATTTGGTGAATAATTAACAAGGTCAAAACGAGACTCAAGAATGGATACATCGGCCTGTCCAGAAGATAAAATAAGTTATATGGGCTTAACATAGTAACTGACACTACAATTGAATGAATGATTATTACACATTTTGATAGTACAATTGTGTTAAAGTACTTTTCAATGAAATCTTTGTTCTATTCAAAGATAAATTACTTCATAATTTATGATTATTGGCTTATTTCGAATGAAAACGATAGACTGACAGTCTGTTCTGTCATTAGTTAGGCTTCAATAATATTGAGGATTTAAATTTTTAAATTGAAATATTTTCTCAGACAATATAAATTTTAGTGGAGTTTTGTTCTCTGAGCTGGATGGTTTGGTTGTGGAGCTTTCATCGTTCTTCTGAACGATATCAGGTAGAAGCGAAGTATTTGAATTTCTCTACATATGGCTCATAGCTTGTCCTGCAGACCTCGATCTCGATTGGTTAATGTTGACCTTTAACCTGTTTACGGGAAATTCTTTGGAAGTGTATTATAAAACGTTTTTGGTGAAGGGTTCAAAATGTGTTAACTGTTCAAACGACTTATTGAAAATCTACTGTAGTACAACATGTTCAACTGATAACTGCTCTTGAAATTACATCATTGCAGCAAACCATAAAATGTTAAGCTAGACTACCAGAAAATGTTAGTCAAAAGAATTTAAGAATGATTTCTGTTAGATGAGAAAGAATTTTGTAGACAATTAATGGATAATTATAAAATAGGTGTGTAGAGATTGCTGAATTACATTGAAATCCTAAATCAATCTGAGTAAGAACACCATTGCAAACCTGGTTGTTTAACTTTGATCGACTCAGGGTTTCAATGAAAATCATTAGTAAATTAGGCCAAAAATAAATGAGTTCATTAAGAAAATGATTGTGTGTTGATACACTGGTAACATCACTAAATAAACTATAGTTGAACTTGAAGTCGCTAAGTCATTCATGACTCATTTTATTTCACTTGCGTCTATTGAACTGTCGTTTATTTAAGGTTTATGAAGTGTAATACAGGACATAATTGTACTTCCAGTATTGTTATAATGTAAAATATTCTAACGAACATTTTTAATAAATTAAATCACTAAAATCTTTATATAAATCTATATTTAATAGAAATTTAACAAGTTGGAGAAATTGATTGTGTCTACTGCTAAACAACTGGAGAAGAAGTTTAATTATACTCTGACATTCAACGTATGTTATTAACTCATAAGATAAATTATATTATTGAAATTTCTAGAATTTCATGTTGGAGTAAATCAAAGACGTCTAAATGTGTTTGTTCCACAGAGGTATACATTTACAATAATAATTGATCTTCATTTTAAACAAAAACATCTGAAATTACTATAATATCCACAATACCCCTTCTGATATTATTCAACATATGCTCACTAGTGACTGGCTTCAAGAGGTATATCCTGGAGTTCTAGAGAGAAGTAGTGACCAGTGGAGTTCAACCAGGTCTGTTGTGAAATAGTAACTCACTGATGACAATGGTGGATAGGTCGCTCAATTTCGTGGATTAGTTGAAGTTAGACATTAACGCCGTTCGATGCCGGCCGGCTCGGTGGTCTAGAGGTTAAGCGTTCGCGCGCGAGACTGATAGGTCCTGGGTTCAAATCTCACGGAGGGGCAGGATCGTGGATGCGCACTGCTGGGGAGTCCCACAATAGGACGAGACGGCTGTCTAGTGCTTTCAGGTTTTACATGGTGGTCTAGCTTCAACTGACGCATGATCTCAACCATTAAAAAAAAAGAAATGGAACCTAACAAAACGATTGTTTAAGAAAACAAACATTGAATTACATTAGCACCACCTATTAGATGCATACTCTTAAAACGTAATAATTTATTGATGTTCTTAGTTTACATATTATGTAAAAACATTTTGTTAACCTAAAATATGGTTAATATAATGAGCTTTGTAAAACATATTTCAAGTAATTTATCTTAAAAAGGTATATCGATGAAAATGAATCGTTTGAAAAAATTACAAACATTTTGAAACAACACTTAGTATTGTTTGGCTTGTATCTTCCCATTGATGTTTAAGACTGCAATTAATCAGTCTGTTATTGGCATATGTGCATACTGTGAGTATGCCTCGATATTGCCTTAATTCACAAGCTTTTTGAAAACAATGACGGATAGTGGCTAGCAGTGGGATCTAGGACGCGCTTTTCTTCCTATTTGGGACTCGTCAGCTGGATGTACCTGCATGTCAGAGTTGATGTTTACTCTGGGATTCGAACCCAGTACCATTCGCTTCAAACGCCATCGCGTTATGTACTCAGCTACTGAGTCCTGATAGCCACTTGCTTGTGCAATGGGGTGAATTTAAATTCACTTGGTATTGTTTTGAAACAACGCCTAAATTATACATAATAGCATTTAGTGTTATTTGAAATACTTATTCCATGTTGCAACTACACTAAAATCATGATACGGTGTATTGTATATGGTAATACGATACGCGGGAAAAAATGTAGCTTACAGATTTGCTTACCTTTGAAGTATACGTGATTATCAATATTTTCTGTTAGACTTAATAAATTTTAATTGAAATCTGAAAGCTGATGTTTATATATATATATATATATATATATGATTTAACTGTTTGAAACACCTTCATGTTGATTACCTTCAACGTCTAATGATGAAATTCGATCTTTCATCAGATCAGACGGTGAAATCTTCCGTTTCCCATGGACATCTGCCTAGAATAAATTGACTTCAAAACTTCATTAATTTGTTTTTTATGTGAAAAACTCCAGAATTCTTACTCTAATGCAATAGAATGACTGTTTTTTTCGTGTTGTTTTGAATCCTTAGTCACTAGATCTAATAAAAAATGATTCTATAGGAAGCGTCTCACTCTCATTCACCTTTAATACTAATACCTAAATGATTTATGTGTTTACAAATGATCTTGGTGGCAATAATTTACTATGTTAAGAAACGTTCGCATGAGCTAAAGATAATCCGGACAAAGAACTGATAATAATGCACAACAGTGAAGAATTTCCGGACAAAATTCTCGAAGTCCTAGGAAGAAACCTTCGGATGTGAAATCATCTAAATTAATAGTGAGTTTAAATATCAGATGAAGATTGTCTTATCACACGTTTTTCAGAGGAAAAATGTATATTGCTGAATCCGTACTCTGTAGTTTAAGGAAACTGTGTCTCCCACGAGACCCGAAACCGCTGGTTTTGATTACGTGTAAATTATTGACATACATTAAAACAGATCGGTTAGCTAGAAGACAGAATTTTGCGGGTGATTTTCGAAGGTCCTGAAGCTTACATCATTTGTGAAGGAAGGTACTCTAGCTTACTAATTTAGACAATAGTAAAATATGGTGCTACTTCCATAGAAGTTATATCATTATCTATAGAAGATTCCTAATGTTACAGCATTTGAGTTAAATATTTTCACTCTGCTTTTCAGGGTCAAATTTATCTTAAAAAGATGGTCCATGATCGAAGTGATCTGATTTATTTACTGAGAGAAAAGTACAAAAGTAAACCAGGACATGATAGCGCAATATAGAAGCTCCATCCCCAAAAGTACACCTATAACATTATTAACGGTGTTTGTTTTATTTCCCTCAATTTATATGGAATTCGGTGAACAGTAATTATTATCTGTTTTGCATATCTCTATGAATGTGAAACGGTTTATATGATCCAGTATAGGTAGCATAATGAGGATATTGAGTAATTCCAAACTAAAAGCGATACATTGTTGTTTTATCAGGTTTTAATAACAAATACATTGCGATTCCTCCATACAGGGTTAGTTAAATATCACTTTTAAAATCGTTGGTAGGTAAGGCAGAAATCTATTTCAAGCAATTAGTCCCTTTTATTAGTTTGGTACATTAATGAAAGGACGGAGTTGATCTGACAAGTGTTATGTACATGCGTTATACATTCATGTCATGTGTATTTTTATGTGAACGCCAATGAAGGTCAATTAAACAGAAACGATATTTGTAAATAAAGGAGAAAAAATCAATATAATATGTAGAGAATGTAAATTTATCACACTGCTATTCTAGAAAGAAACATTGAGTTAAGTTTACCAGCGAAGACTCAAGTTTACGAAAAATCGTTTTTGTACACCAAAAAGGTCTGAATTTTCGAATATCCAATGCTATTAGACGATCATAACCATGCTAGTAATTCTGAAAAGAGAGATCTGGATTCACAGTAATCTAACAAGATAAGACTGATCCTAATTAGTCAAGAACTTCTACAAGATACAATCAGGAACTCAAATCGGAAGTACACAGTATGAGATTGTATTGTTTAAGCACAATATTTAATATTTAAATGTATACTAAGTTTATAGTTTATTTACTAAAAGAGATAATCTAGAGAGGTGTTTGTAACCCTACCGCTAGTCAGAGAAACCTGTGTCAGAGTCTTACTTCATGCTACAAGAATACCCTTTAAAGAAAAATCTTAGAAGTGCACTCCTATTGACTTGATATGGTAAGTGAAAGTGAAGCTCAAGCATCTCCTAGCCAACTGGTCACAAAGAAAAGGTTTAGCAACAAATTGATAGTTTCAGAGCTCCCACAACCCTCTATGCAACTTCTACACCTCACACGTGATGTCCTATTTATACATAATTAAATCTCTAGGCAGTTTTTCTACAAAAACAATAACATTTGGACGTAGATATACATCTAAAAAAGACAAACTACATCGATACCTGATTATTTTTACGAGGAAAGTTATTATATATATCCAACCATGATGATACTGATCATTGTACAATGATAGTTTAGTACGGAGCATAGGAAATCTAGAATATCATATGCTAGCACCTTTGAGAATGAAGCAAGTTCACTCATCAAGCTTGGTGTTTTTGAAGGACCACGTTAAATATGTTTAAAAACCCATTTTGCAAAATACTGTTCAGATGTTGATAAAGCAATAGAATTCGTTCGTAAAAATAACTTGCGTAAAGTCTGTTTAAATGCTAACCATCTAACTAGGGATTTCCAGTCGCTAAAGAGATGAGAGACCAAATAGTTTGGTTGGTGATATCACACTACATCATAAGAAATGTGAGGAACGAACGGACACCATAGATGCCATCAAAATTAATACTCATTAGTGCATGGAAATTGATACAGCTTAAAAACGCAAAAACTATACACGAGAAGATGTCACGCTAGCCATAATTCCTGTACTACTAAAAGGTGTCGAGATCATTCATACTTGGGCTTTTTGAATAGTGGGGCAGTTACTTCTTTTATTGCAGGTGATATAGTCAGTGAGCTAGGTCTACATGTAAAATCTAAAATATTATCTTTGACGACACTGAATAGTAAATCGTCATTGGCATGCAAGAAGTCGGTATAGAGCTTCATTCATAAGATTTTTCGTCGTCTGTTAAGATCCAGAAGTTGTTGACGGTCAAAAGATTATCGATAATGTAGAAGAATCTGTTAACGGCGTATCAGAGAGCGTTTTGGTCTTACTTGAAGGATGTGGACTTTCCAAAAGAAGATGGTGAGGATATCAAGCTGTATTATTATTATTATTATTATTATTATTATTATTATTATTCACAAACATCTTATGGGCACATAAGTGTTGTGAAGAAACCCGAAGTGGTTTCTCCAAAAACGCATTTATGCAAAAGTTTCAATAATTTTAGCATTATATTTGCCATATTTGAAAAAAAAGAAATAATAATGATAATAGAATAATAATAAATCAGGTTCTGTGTAATTGAGAAGAATATTGAATTGAGTTTAAAGAAGGAAAGGGAGAAAATAATGGAATAGAAATAAAGGAGAAATACGCGAATAGTTTAATAAGCGTGTTTATGAACACAGAACAAGTATAAACGACTATGTATATATCACCAAATTAGTAACAAAAATAAAATAGAAAATAACTATGAAAAAATAACTTATTATTGCAGTAAGATATGACGCTAGAATAAATGTTTGTGCAGTCATAGTTTGGAGTGATGCTATGAAAGTCTCAATTAAGTGAAAAGGATAATGAAATGTCAATATGTATGAATCATACATGCTTAGTGAAGATAAAACGAGTCTGCGAGGTTAATTTCAGTGTAACACAGGTACGAATAATACTTATTTAGAAGGAAGAAAGAAACGAACTGAACACCTAGTGAAAGGGTTCAACCATGGTAATAATAGCGTAATGAATATCGACCTCTGAAGTAAAATAACTTTTTAGTGAACTCGGATGAATACATGTAGATTTATGTAAAACCGGATATTAGTATAAACATTTGTGCAATAACAATTTAGAATGATGCTGTGAAAGTCACGACGAATTGCAAGGGATGATCAAATATAAATTTCTACGTGTTAATCTGAGAAGTTAATTTGTTTAGGTGTAGGATAAGATTTTTTCTGTTTCTAGTTATAGACTTTGGATGTTTAGTAATGAAATATGTTTAGAACGGCAAGAAGAGATTAAAAGAATATCTAATGTGTTGAAGAACCAATAATGATAATAGTAACAGTAATGCTTATAAATACGAACATAAGCAGACTTCATATATTAAGATGAATAAAAATAAAATAAAATAGACGTTGAAAGTTTCCAAGTTTGCACTTTGCTTTACAGTCAATTAGATGGATGACGGACCTTGTTTGTATAAATCATTATTAAATACATTGATATTCAATAGGTGACACAATCCATTTTCGGAAAGAAAATCATCAACGCGACTTCTGAACCAAGTTGTAGTGTCACTAAAACGGAGGCTCACTGGCAGTCTGTTCCACATGGTTGAGTAGCGAATAACGAAAAAAATGCTGGCGTAAGTTTTTGTAGGTTCTTGGAATTGCTAGAATATTTTTCTTATTGCATAGATTGTCAGATGTTATCATAGAGTATGAAGGGATGGATACCGAAGAGTAGAAAATACCGTTAACGAACCGATAGATAAAGACAAGTTTTAATTTAGTACGCTTGATCCGGAGAGATTCTAATTTGAATTGTTGACATCCTTGGTGATAGTTCTTGGTGTCGGAACACCCTAAAACAGCTTTAGAGAACCTTCTTTGAACACCTTCAATTTAATCAGTTCATTATGTTTGCAATTACTGTAAACTAAAATATCATACTCAAGAATGGGTAAGATACATTTTCTGTATAATAATAATCTGACTCAATATTATTGAGCTTTCTAGCTTCGGATACATGAGATGCAATGTGCTCCGAAAAGTTCAAACTGTTGTTATGCCTTAAACCCGAGTCACGATCAGTGTCGAGAGGTTTCAGTGTATGTTCGTGTATAGCCGGATTTAGGTTAAGGTAACGGCCAATGCGACTAAATCCACTTTTGTCACCATTAAGTGACAAATTCCACCAAACAGTCCATTCGTACAACTTGTCAATTTCTTCTTGAATTACGGCTGAAATATAGCTTTCTTTGGTGGGAGGAGAGAATGAATCAACCACTTTTAGGTCGTAGGCAAAAAGGAAAGGTTTAACATACTGAAAGAGGGAACACATTTCATTGGTAAAAAGTAAAAAGAGTAGTGAACCAATCATACTTCCTTGTATAACCCTACTAGTTACATTCACAGGTTTAGAGTAGCAAGATCCAAAGCGAACGATTTGGCTACGTTCTAAAAAAGATTTGAGCCAAGATAAAAGGGGATTCTGTATGCCAAATGAAGAGAGTTTTAAAAGAAGAAGTTTGTGTGAGACACTGTCGAAAGCCTTACTGAAATCGAAGTAAAGAATTACCACTGACTGACCAACATCTCTTTTCTGGGTAATTTGATCAAAAAGCCCCATGTGCGATGTGTAGCCCAAGATACACATGAGACGAAAGAGACGAGAACTGGAAAGGCAAGTAAGACTTATGTTGTGAGAACTTTGATGAGATGAACGCTGTTTGAGCTCTATAGCGGACCTCGTGTGAGCAACATTGTACTTGGTCCTGCCACACTGTACTTAAATGATGCTTGTCGTCAGAAACTAGACTGGGATGCAGAGTTATCCGTGGATCATTTACACTCAGAGAGACGTTTAACATAAAAATTTGAACCATTATTTGCTCAGATTCATTGTTTATCTGGTGCTTCCTAGCTTGCTTATGGTATTGTAACATATACTCAATGCGCAAGTGTTTCTTGCTAAATTTGCTGCGCAATTCCGCTGGCCAAGTCTAGAATCGTTCCCCTGAAACTTGTAGCTCTACCTATTATTGAACCGACGGTCTGCATGCTATGTGTTCAGACTGAAAAGCATGTGGAAGAACTGTTAAATATCTGCATTCTTTCGGTTATTTACTAGATGGATTCGTTAATCTCACCTTCTCGAATGAAATATACAACTGAAAAGTTTGAACGGTTTGTGAGTAATAGCTTAGCGACCACACATGTGTTGTCCACACCAAAACTAGTAGAGATACGTGAAGAGTAAACTGGACCTGGCAGATTAAATATCGCGTAGACTACTAATAAATGATAGGACTAACATAAGGGGTGTAGCGTGGCGTCGAGTTGAGATTAACTATGAACACCGCTACCAAGAAACACGTGCCAAATAAATCAGAAGGCGAGGGTTGAACGTAACCAAAGAAACCCATAAAATCTCCGAGAAGCCAAATATCAGAAGACAGTTAATGTACCAAGTCGATGTTTATTTGCTGGCGATCTCGTGGCATCGAAAGGATACCGAGATCGTGCCAGGATACAAGCTTGGTTACAGAACGTAACCGAATTCCCGCGAAGTTACAATCAAAGTGTAAGTAAAAGAATGGAAGCACAAAATAGCTGTCATTAGCACAGTCAAACAAAAGCACGTTAAAACAAACACTGGTACAGTTGGTTATAATAATCATTGTTTTTATTAAACCAGTCGTGTTCTCGTGATAAACGTGAGTCACTACAGGGGCATTACAGTGGCCGAGATTCCCGTAGGAAGAGAATGATAAATGGCCCAGCCCTGAAAGCAATGAGAACACAGTAACCCGCGTATCAACAGAAGAGTTCGAACAACAAATTTCTAGGTCTATTTCATGCACGTAACTCGTAGTTCAGATCATTGAAAGTGTTTTATAGTGAATATGTCCTGAAGATAATGCGTTAGATGACCGGAATGGGAAAAGCTCAAGCCTAGGTATACTGAGTATTGAGGATATCTATAAATCAAGGAAAAATGTGATAACTCCAGTTCACACTGCCTCACTCCCTGGCGAAAAGAGAATATTAAATAATCCATCATTCATACCACGGGAACAATTTTTCTAGACAGCAAGGAGGTTCAGAAGAGAAACATGAGACGGTCAGAGGAAAACTTCGATTCGTTAAAGTTCGATTAAGTATCTCGACACGAAAAGGTAGGCACCTAGAATTATCGTGTCTACTCCTCGAAACCAAATATCTGATTATATTTCCCAATAACAATTTTACTATGAATATGGTCATGAAGCACTATCATTTGCTTCACGTGAGTGTCATAGCCACACAAACATTAATTAATTTGCGTAGAAAAACTTAGTGTTAAAAGCCTCTTTAACTCCAAAAGAGTTTTGAAGTGATGCTATCTGTGTAACGGATCTTATTATATGCCATGCTCCCAAATAACGACGTCGTTACCAGAATGCCGGGGTAGGGGATCGCTCATCAACTTTCTAAATGACAGTGTCGGGAGTGATCAGTAAACGAACCCAACAATGGCGGCACCACCCTGACTCCTTTTGACTTTATATAACTGTCTATTCACCAGTCACAATCTTACATGGTTGTCGTAATCGATATTAAGATTTGTTGACTCATTGCCCTATCCTTCAGTTACTTGCCGGTATGTTATTGATGTCACTCCTTATCCCTGTCTAACAAACTGTATTAGTTGTTTTTCGTATATCGATGGTGTTGACTCACGTCTTAGAAACAGATGAAGTTTATCAAGCCAAATATCTTGCTTGTTCTGGCTTTGGCTAAGGTAAGACTTTGTTCAACAGTCTGTAGATTAGTTTTAATTTGTGTCTTTGGGCAACTGCATCCCTTAAGTAATGACCTTTTATTATTAAGCAGCTAGCCAGGCATACGATATTCCATGCTTTCAATGTCTCAGCCATGATTTCACAACGAACGCAAGATTGAATAAACTATGCTGACACCAAGAAGAGGTGTCCGTATTTAAAACAACCCAGAGAATAGGAAGTTGAAGCAGGATAAGCGAACATTGTTAGACCTGTCTCGAAATAGCTGTACTTTTTATGTTACATGTACATAGTAGCAAGCATCACGAAATAAGCGAAAAATATCTTAGCTGTGAATTTATTTTTTAAGAGCATCACTTATGTGTCATCATTTGGAACTATTATATGAGGCATCTCTCGGCATATCGCATTGCCGAAATTATATTCAATAGGCAAATGACCACTCTACTGGGATGCAAAATATATTTCGAAAACACATTTTAACCACAGAATATCTAACCAGATAGTTCATCAAAACTAATCACGTTCTTCGACATACATCATTATATATTACTTGACTAAAGTAAATAGAATTAAAGGTACAAATCAATTCTAAAAATAGAATAAGATTGGTGCTTTTAGCAAGCAAATATTCTGTATGACCATGTATTCTAAATTCGGTATTCAGTTGTGCGGACTTAAAATCTCTCTAACAAACGCTATATTCTACCATCCAACAAATGTATTTCCATCTAAGATGTGTATATATGTTCGTTCTACTCTAGCGATCAAAGTTTTTGTTAGCGATAAATGTTTACGATAAACTGGAGATATTATTTCTGTCTTTCAGGTGTAGTCAAATCAACCAGTCAATCAAGAATACAACGCTTAATATGAAAACCACTCATATCCGGTAATCAATTAAAACAAAATTAGGCCAATCGGAAAGGGTCTAAATAGTGACAAGGAGAGGACTAAAAACTCAAATATCGAGTGAAGTGAATGTCGCTAATTTCACCCAATATAATGAATATATAAGGAAAAATGAAATGATAATATGATAATAAATAAGGCTTCACCCTCACACAAAAGTTATACATTGTGGGATTTCTACGGGCTTTCATAAAACAACATGCATTAAAGTTCTTTCAGTTATTCTAGAACTTGGTGAGTTAGAGCCCCCTAAAAGGTCACTTACTAAAAAAGACTAGCTCTTCAGAGAGAAAATAGTTATTAATAGAGTCTTCAGTAAGAGGACACATTACACGTAAAGAATTTAACTTACTATTAATCAGTTGTAAATATGATTCTTTTTACCAGTTCTGTCCGGACTTTGATCTGTATGTTCATAATTTTTGACTTGTTCTTCTGGTTTCAGTCATGCTTTTTGACCTTTTTCATTTTCGCCTTGAAAACCTGAAAATTAGATAATTGTTGCAACTATTACTTAGAACTGCAAATTGATAACTCGCAAATAAAGAGTGAAATACGACCATGTAGAGTTGCACTTTTCGCTTACTTGTTGTTTGGGTAAACGTCGCGAGTTTATCAGTCAACTTTCCTTTGAGAAAGAACCAAAATAAAAATTTTGAATTTAATATTAATTGCAAAATCTGGGCTTAATTTAACAGTAGAAAAAACGCTTGGAAGCGGCTATCATTTTTGGTCTAGCCAATGCAATACGAGTCTACCAGAATCTGTAAATCCCAATTATATTAAGAAACTGGTTAACTGGCGCATCAATTTACTTCATCAACGTTGAATTCATGTAACTCCTCTAATAAAAGTTTACTGGTTGTCGCTAAGTTATTGTACTTTACCATTGGCGCATGACTTACAAACCACGAGTTCACTTAACAGGATCAAGAAAATACAGTAATGGTGAATAAATCCTTAAAACAAAGAACTCTTAGAGTTCAAAACTGATGGTGACATCATTGGTTTTTCGTGATAACCCTCAGCCGAAGACTCCCGACCAAACATTCGTACTATAATGCATTTGTGTACTCAATGACCAGATAAAATAAGATAACTAGTCATTCAGTTTGAATACAAATTCATATCACCACATTCCCGACTTCTGGTTTTATTAACTTTGAGATCATAGTGCATAAAGAGAGTTCTCACAATACTGTTATCAGACTCTTTATATCCGTAATCTCATCATCTTTTGATAAATCATATGTTACTGTAAAAATGTTGAAAAACGAAGTCAAATGCTGTTTTAGATCCTAGAAATAAATACAAATTATTATTTGTGAGAACTACATGTTTAACTAGCTGAGTAATCTACTTCCACAGTAAAATGACTGGAGAAATGCTGTCCATAGGTCAGCTAGTTCAAGAAGAGCATGAATTTACACAAGAACAAATTAAGATGGATCTAACACGCATTCGTGACCTTCCAGCCTAAAAATATCGAAAAATTCCTTAGCTAAAGTGAAAAAAACAATATATGAATTCATCCATTACAAAAATTGAAAAATAAAAATTACTCGTCATCAAGATAGATTCAATTTAGTGATCAAACAGATCTCATTGGAAGCACTCGGAAGTATGTAATTGCTATCTCATATAAATAAGTAAGATCCTAATAATCCAAGGGGTGAAAGTAATCTCAAGTATTTTGAATATTGAGCTTTGGCCTTCACTTCTCTGGCTGACTATTCAAATGGACTGTATTTAGAGGACTTCATCGTTTGAAGTAAATAAATGTCAGTTACTGTCAGTATTAAAAATAGATGGATCATAAATTCTCGTTGAACTTTTCATTCATTTCGAACTTCATATTAGTTTGAGTTGTTGACGATATCTTTGACATTAGCTACTTTTTTTCCAATACCATACGTGCACATACAAATTCGATATCAGTTGGGCGTTTTTGATACAAGAGTCTTATTTTCACATTTCTTCCTGATTCTTAAGCTCGAGGTAGATATATTAATTCTTCTGAATGCCAGATCTTCCTTTTTGTATAAACCATTGTTCCGGTTGTATTACATTGACGTGCGATGCTGTTGAATGCTTCGTTACTGACTGTCCAAACAGTTGTGGGATGCGTATGCATTCGTGCAAGGTTGATGACCACTTGGATCAAATATGCCCCAAGACCATAGTCCCATGTATTAACAAAGAAGTCGGTTGTCCACACCTAATATGTCGTGAGGACAAGTCATTTCATTTACTCAATTGTCCTGCTAGTGTTGTAAGCTGTAATGCTCGATGCCCCTTGCTTTTCAGGTGAGCAGTGTGATTGAGTTAATCTACCACAGTCTTTATTCATAAATTTCATTGTACGATCTGACCCATTTTATTCCAAAATACTGTCACCTGATTTCTCGGCATGACTATAATTTATGGACGAACCGATCAGATTTGTGATTACATGTTTTATATTTCAGAGCGAAATTCATTCACCCATTTGGCTAAATGGTGTTTTGGCATTATAGATTATGTCAGTTCGTGATGAAAACCCTAAATCTAATTCTTAAAATTAATCATCAACTGAAAATCATAATCCGAATTCCTCACACTGGTTTAAAACCCCTATTTGGTCCTAGTTATTAGGTGGACACTCAATGTCAACTTAGTGTCGCTCAAAGCTCGTCCATAAATAATAGTCTCATCCATTTTTCCAGTCACTATTCACGCCTAACTTGGTGGTAGCTTACTGGTTGGGTTGTTAATTATCACATGGGCCACTTATGGGATGTCTGGTCAAGCTACCGTTTCGAGATAGATGTTTGAATGATATATGGGAAAGTCAGTCCATCATTACACATCTTTAGTCTAACGCAATGTTTTCAGCCACATTCCTGCTGTTCTGAGAACTTTACTAGCTAGGCTTACGTGAGAAAAATCTTAACTAGGTGGAAATAGTTCCATCCTTAAATACCGTCACCTAGCTGTCCTTAGATCTTTTCCATTGAATATATCTTAGGAGAGTCGTGTACTTTGACTTTCCGTGAAGGCAACGAACCAACGGTTGAGGTTAGTCGGCAAGTTATTTACATCTTTTTCTACTGGTACGGAAACTTCCTAACATTCAGAAAGAGCTTGAAGTATATTTTCGGAAACTTCAAAAACTCGGTTTCATTATTTTCTGCCGATTAACATTAAGGTTTGAAACTGAGAGCTCAGAAAATATGACGGCGAATAATATACAGGCGAACAATATGGTTTACAATGATGTTTTCAAGCTTTATTCTAATTTACGGCAACGTCTATATCCACATGCAAAAAATAATAGATCAATCGAAGCCTTTTGTGAGTAAACCATAACAAAATAGTATGCGTAACTGAACGTAATTAGTGAAAAGTACAAATTGATACTAATATGGCAAATGTTTTAGCGGTGATAAGAATAATATAAGCTTGAGTCACTGTTTGAATATATCAAGTGTTTCAAAGCTTGGATGGGTAGATATTTAAATAACGGTCATTAAATATGATTATATATGGAAGGATATTTACAGAAAAATGTGATGTAAAACAAATTAACAAATGGTATGAAGAGTGATAATATGAAATCGTTAGTTGAGCGTTTCCCGTCTAAGGAAGGGGCAGAAGAATGACAAATCTCTTCTGAACTCATGGACAGGTTGCTGTTCCGAACCCCTATGGCTCCTGGTGTACGCAAGAGACGAGATCAAACACGTTAGGGGGTGACAATATTTACCACTCACATGGCCACTATCGACCAAGCGTAATGAAGCTACATATTACCTGTATCCGATTATCTGCAAATCACTCAGGGAGATGTTCGCTCATTCTTTGCTTGATGGAAAACCCAGTAGAGCTATCTCTTCAGGAGCAGCGGAGTTTTGTAGATATAGATTCAGGCGGAAGAATTAAGTGACATCCTCTGTTTGGACAAACATTATTGATCGACTGAAAAATAAAAAAGAGTAGTCATGTAGAAAGTCTTATTATAACTCGCAATACTCTATCATGTAGAACATCGTTAGCTACATCCCTTTGGATCACAGTTTAACACAAGAGGTTTATTATAAACGGTCCATACATTAAACTTCCTGTTTCCTTAGCAAACGTGCTTCTTTAAAATCTTAGTGGTTAGCCTGCTCCAGTCAGAATTTTATTAATAAAATCTAGGTCCTTTTTGTATCGTCTGAGTAGATCATTTTCCTCTGTTTGAAAGATATAAGTATATTTCTTAACCTGTTTTTAAACCCCTGACGCTCCGTTGTTTAGCACAGACCGTAATAAAATTTTTAGATTAGTCGGTTATCATGATTTTGTACATGTCGTATTGTCAGATAAATCCTGATCAGGTGGTAACCGGTTAATCATGCTACTTTAAATTTAAGACTCAAACAGTGACCTGGTGATTAAGGCTATCGAGTTCCAGCTACTGAATCCTAGGTTCGAACTCTTCTCCACCTACTTGGGTTTGGAATACCGGATTGTTTTATTACTAGATCTCATACTTAATATGTGGCTCACTCCCAAGTACCTGATGAATGAGTTCATCTAATTGGTTGAAGTTGAAAACATTTAGCATTGTCTACGGGAATAGTTAGTAATTAAAGTTAATAATTCAATTATGATAATTATAATACTCAAATAAATGATTTGAATCATTTGAAACATCCTATTTTTATTTGAACTACAAAATAATCGGTGGTATGTTACACCAGGCATGCACCACACAAAATTAGAATATTTTTGTGGAGAAAATTCTTAATAAAAGCTGGACATTGTAAAAGGCGTAGTCCTAAAACGAACACTTAAAATTTGTTTTGTTTGAAGGTCCCTCATACTGTTGATAACCAGTGTAATAGAAACCTACCTCGTAATTTACCGTGGTTTTTACTCCAAGCTATTTTCTCTAACGTTTCAAATTACTAAGTCGCATTATCTTAAGGAAATCATATAAGAACTGTGACATAATCGAATGACAATAGCACATCTGTTTTTCATTTCCCTGCGCCTTATCATAAACTAACGAACTTCACGCGCTTCACTCCAGTCTCAACGTAGGAAGTATGAAATTTGCTGGCACGACATGTAAAATCTAACCAATTTTTAAACCCAATGTTTCTAGATTGTAACATATCGAGTTACTGTCTCTATAATGATTAGACAGGTTTAAGGATATCAGCGTCCACTACATGGTGCTGTCATTAGATATGAAATATCCTTCGTATACAATGATTAAACACTGATGGTCATCTAAAGACATCACAAAAAAGACAGTTGTACAAACTGAAAAGAAAACGTTCAGATCGCTACGTTTTACCATCTGACAATTTATGATCTGACTGAAGCTGATTGTGGTCCACATTGACATTAGCCATTTCGGATATATCTGTAAATAGACAAATCTCATCTCAGTTATAGGCAACATCTGATCTGGCACAAATATACCAGTCCATAATGCACAGTTAGTGAGGAAATTAACAAAATAAAGTCAGATGAGTCATAGTAATATTAAAAATAATACGAACTAAATGTAAGGAAGTTAGTTCGAAGGGGACGAATGTGATATAGTACGGAATGACAAGATTCAATACTTATAATGATATAAAGAATAAACGGAAATGCGCCATTACAACTTTGTGCTCTCACTTACGCATACCACTTCAATAGTCAACCGTATTGGTGCATATCATATTTTCGTTTGGCCAGTTTTAGCTCCCTCTCTACTTACTCTTACGCTAACGTGTGTCTGGCTATTAAGTTCATTGTTAGCTAACTCTAATGAAGTTAGCTTATGGTATTTTGTCACACAGTAACCGAGCTATAACCTCACCAGTTGTCTATACAGTACGTAATAATAATTAGTCAGTAACAACATGAATCTTCGTACGTACGTACATCAGTTCGAGTTGCCATACCACATTAGCACAGATACAATTGTCGATTCAAATCCCATAGTGGTAGAGGTAGTAAAAGTATAAGCAGTAATCGGAAAGATTAGGGTTTGACGATGTTATTCAAGGAGTATAATCCAGTGAAATAAATTTGGAAAGAGAAAAAAAGGGGATATGAAGAATTCATAAGATTAGAATTTGGTAGAACACAAAGAGTAGTAATAATAAGCATAATTAATTAACAGGGACATGAATCCATTACCTTGTTCTGCATGTTTCGCATTTATACCATTTAATATTATACTGTAATAGTGACTATACACACGAATATATCAGAAGTTGTCTCCAGTTAATGTTACCTTCAACATTTCTCTGTATTATTATTCCGTGCATTCTGTGCTTAATTTATGATTTGAACAATTTTGATTATTATATCTACTACTATGAATCTGGTGTTCATCTTGTGCTTATGAGGTCTGGCAACTTGGACCGATGCACGTAAGTGCCTTGTCCTACGTTATAGCTGATTGACTGACTGATAATTATGTCAGTCTGTCATAACCAATGTGCATCAGCCCAAGCTGGCATACTACACCATAGCGAAATGAAATTAACAAGGTATATGATAAAAAACCCGGAATAATGAAGTTCAGATCGTAGTACTATATGATAAACGCTATAAAGAAGTTTTATTCAAATCACAAATCGATCTTAGATAAACATCAGTTCGTGGTTCCAATAAAATTCAACAATCTCCATAATCTGATACTGGTAACTAAAAATGGTTTCTAATATGACTGTTTGGTGTGTTTGTTTTAAAATAAGCCTAATGCTATCCATCTACAGATGGCTTTCTACTATATTTCAGCTACAATATTTTTCAAGTCTAGTATACTACTATCTAGTTTTCAAAATCCTCACAGACCTGTAAATTCAATTTATTCGTAGAAACGTTTAAGAACATTTATAGACATTCGAAATTAAACGTGATAGCAACTTTTTGAAATGTAGTCTATGCATTTTTTTAAAAAAAGGTTCATTCATACTTATGTGCACGTGACTAGAGTTATTTTGTATCGCTTTTTTCTTAGATTTTTTGTGGTTGTATTTTTTTTCAATTTGATATTTCAACTTAGGCAAACACAGAAAAAATCTACTTCTCCAGTAACCTGTACTGTGAATCCGATTATTCATTATGCTTCTTGTAATTCATATGTTTACCGACCAATTAATTCACCTCTGTTGGGGGTCGATTTTGGCAAGTTATTTTAATTACATTTTTCTACTCATAATTTCTCTATTGATTTTCCACTCCTGTTTATCACTAGTTAACTAACTTTGTTGATTTCACTTTGATTATTGCTACTTCACATAGCATTCGGAATATTATATCACGTTCTCATATACTACTGATTCATTAATACACTCTCTAACAAGGATAATTTTGTATTTAAATGAATTCTATAATATACTCCACAACTAGTTGAATTATAGGTCGTAAATTAAGGCTTTAATGTCTGTATACTAGTTATTTTTCCGTTAATAAGAATATTTCTGTAAGGATCCTTCCAACATCAGCACGTACAACTAATTTCCTAGTAGTTTCTCTCCTCTGAAACTTTCATGGACTGATCATCAAACATTTCTGCATTCACTCTTCATTTGGTCTACAAAATTGTGACTTTATCTGTGAACAAATAAATATTTCTTCACCTACAAAACCTGTTAAATATAAACTTCGTTTTTCTTACCCATTTAAAATTGTAACCTCGCTATACACCAGTGATACCTATTATTGACATCAATAGTTGAAACTTCAGCACAAGATTAAGCGATCTGTGTAATTATCAACACTTTTCTTAGACTTCCTATGGGCGAGAACAGTTCTTGGTATGATGTCGTCAGATAGTCTTAATCACTGCTCAGATAGATGTCTTGAAATCTTTTAAGAGTTTATATTCATTTGCTTCTATCCCATCTCAACTATTACGCATATTCGTTTAAATCATAATTTATTTGTCAGTTTATTATATTATTTTATGCTCCACTTCAATATTATCGCTATATTGTTTTATTCTGTAGGAACCTAAATGAATGCTGTTTTATATCAATTACTGTTCTGTTTATATCATTTAGATTTTTTCTAAACTGTTCGTATATACACTTCATTTTCGTGTGTACATTCTTTATTATATTTGATGTACAGATACCAATCAGCGAACTTTTACTAATCAGACTGATGGACATATAACCAATGTATTAAAATTGATCAATGAAGAACAAGTCGATAAAACACTAAGCAGCGGTTTTGTAGAATCACCATTATCATCCTACATGTGCGACCATGTAAGTGCATTGATTGTTGTCGATAATTGTTATGTTGAACATGTTGCAAAAAGTAATAGAGTTAATTGATTAGCACAATTTCACAACGATATTACCGGCGTAAATTATATTTTCCCCATAAAATATTTTTAACGTTTTATTTTATGCGACCAGAAAGAAATTGTGTTGTTTTCTTCAGTGAAATGAGACGCCTGGTAAACAATATGCACATGTATATGTACCGCATGATCTTTCCAAAAAAACATTCCAGTCACATACTATATACCTGAAAATAACTCTGGGATATTTAGAAAAGATAGCCAAAAGTCCGAAATAAATAAAAGACAACCAAAATACTGTTTGTATACAAACTGAATAATACATAGTAAAGGTGACGGAATATACATCAAGTGAAAGCTATTTTGAGATAATGAGGATGTTACTAGTGTTTTGAATATCAAGTTTTATATTCCTACTGTTTAGCACATTTCATGTTGTTAAAGATAGTTAGTAAAGAACCTTGTACTTGATTTCCACACCGATTTGGAATTGCAAGTAATTTGTACCTACAATTTCGAGGGAACTAATATTCACTATAGAATTCACACCTTACGAATAAGCTTATCACCTAACAATAGGATTTTTTTATTTATACACAGTTTGTCATATATATATATATATATATATATATATATATATATATATTGCCATTACATTATTTGCTGACTTCTAAGTTAACAAAGCTATGTAGTATGCATCATACTTACTGTGTCTGTGTGTATATTGTACACTTAATATGAGGTTTATGCCATCTAATTGTATTAATCCACATTTGTAGTATGTTTTCAGAAGTTTGCACCTTTGAATGCTACTACAGTTGTTTTGAAGAGAGTTGGGTTCGGTATAATTACTATTAAACATTTTGATTCCGGGTATTATTATATGCAGTCAGTTTTTAACTAATCATCCAAGTTTGACAATAGCTTATGAAGTTATGGGCATTTTTCATAATAAAATACAGTACCATAAGACTAGTTTATCCACTTATCAAACACTTTACCTCTTGTTACAACTTCCCCGACCGTTGTTGCTACCTTGACATGGTGGTCGGGCTTGTCTATCGTGATGAACCGACCGAGTTATACTGGCTGGAACAATCGTTCTCAAGGTCCTACCATGCCAGACAGGTCGGTTGAAGAGCGGTAAGACTAAAAGCACCAAATCCATGGTCTGAGGGCGAAGTCGTACTGCTGACTGTACAGAGGTGTGACAGCAGTAAGGTGTTTCCTTCAGACAACCGGTATAACAGCGATGCTACCTTCCCACACGGAGGGGTGGGGTTAGAAAAGGTCGACCCTGAAAATGCACACCTCACCTTACCTCACGGATTTCCGTCTCCGGCGGTAAGGCCCTTTGAAGAACGGAGCTAACACGTCAAAAACCTCCCACGAAAAGGCCGTGCGCGACCGGCCTCAAGCAGTTGTCCCTTGGGCACTGCGGTCACGCTCTCAGGTCACTGAGACCACCTCTAATCCAATTTCCTTTTCAGGTAGCTCTAGAAGAACCCTTCCTCGGTGTGGGCAACCGGGAAGTGATAACCGCCCTCATACCTCTAACAGCACTCGAGACCACTGTATTCATAATCAACCTTCCTCTTCAATTCCTATTATTCCTCCTACATCGACTGACTGACTGTTACAACTTCAAACAGCCTCTGAAATTGGTTGAACAGTAGAATTTAGAACGCTGCAATGTAAACACTCGACCGTCAGTTACTGGGACATAAACTAGTACACATCTGGCTTAATTAACTTAAGCTTATAACATCAAATCTCTCAATTATTTACACGTTAATGAAGTTAAATTCGGACAATACTAAAAAAAACAGTAAAAGTCGAAATAATCTAGACTCTATAATCGACTTGACCTTGTAAAGTACCACGCCAATGTTCCAACTATGTTAGCTGATATCCAAACGCTTATTAGCTCAACATATTTACTTTTCCTACGAGCACCAATTAGAAGACGAGAATAAGACAGCTGGTCTAATCTCTGTATCTGACTGGAAAATTTACACTATTAAGTACATTAGTTATTGGACTGCAACGCCTCATAAATACGAGGTTACAATATGTACCAAACATAAGCATTTTAAAAAGAAATTCGGAATAAAGGGCATACAATTAATTTAAAGTGATGTGAGAACAGAAGAAGATATGACAACAATTAGTGAGTCATATGGAAGTTTGAAGTTAGAACATAAATACACATTAGAAAATTTGCACAGTGACATCCCCAGGGAATCATTCGAAGTTTGGCATTCTCTCTAGTCTATCTCGTCCCAACATGTGTATTAATCAAACGCTATTAATCCGAGATCACCGTGCGGTCGAAATTCTGAAACTCTTTCGTTAACGTATTTATTCAGTTTAAATTGTTTATATATATATATATATATATATATATATATATATATATATATATATATATATCCATTTTTCTCTTGTGCATTTTGTTGATGACACATGTTATCATATATATTCTAACAAATCAATTTCTATCCATTCATAGCCAGGATATATTTGTGGTTGTACAGTTCAAAGAACAAATTATGGATCACACTATCAGTTGCATAGTAATGTACAAGCGCAATTAGACGGATGGATTGAACTTCGTTGTCCATTGTCTTTTTTAGGTTGTAAATATGCTGTAGTTAATCTTCGTCCTAATAGTGAATATAATCATTTATTGTATAATCCAACTCTTGCTACATTTACAACGCGGTATGAATCAGAAACTAATCAACATAATATACTTACTCATCATTCAGAATTAACAAATAGTGAATGTTTTAATTTTGATCAGTTGCCTGCAGAACTTTTAATTTATTTGTCTTTTTTCTTAGATGACATGTCTTTACTTTGTTTATCTAAAGTTTCTAACCGATTATCTACCGTATATAAAAATATTCTTTGTGCAAGGTTAATTGTCACACCACAATGGGATAAAGTTCATCACAGATCATCAGATTTATTCTCTTGGCGTATTACAGGATTTTTGTGGTCTTTTCCACATCGTGCTGAATCTATCAAAGGATGGAGATCTGCACATGGTGCATCAGCTAGATCAAAGATTTCAGCTCATTTAACCAGTTGTCATTATAACGACAAAACCATACGTGTATTTCCATTCTGTTATTTGGAATGAATAATAACTTGGATAACAAAATAATAGGTTTATTAGCATGGCATCTTTAACTCTATCTACTTCCTTACTACCATAATAGGTAGTACAATCGCTCATTTGTGAAATATCTAAAGTAATACTACACAATTATACATAACCAAACTAGATTCCTTCTAATCATTCGAATGTCTTATGCTGTCTTCTTTCTGAAATCGTACTAAAATAACCAACTATACTATTCAATATTAAACTACTTTGGATAAATAAGTGATTCTCTTAAGTACTATCTACTTTCCAACACACACACATAGCATGTCATTATTATGTGATGATGAGCAGTATAAGACTTTACGTTTTTTGAAAAATCATTGACTTATAGATGTTTTCATCGAACTATTTTTTTTGTTTCACTTCTGTTTAAGTTGTATTACGTACAATAAAGTACCTGTATAAATCCTTGTATGTATATACATATTTATTTGCACGTATAGAATGTAATATATCATTCATTATCCAAAGTTATTTACCTGGAAATTAAATTTATTTACTTTTTTAGAATACTTGATAGATATAATCTCATCGACACTAAACGTCAACATATACTGACCAGTCTGGTATTTGCTCCAGTCATAAGATTACTTTGTCCTTCAATAATCCGGTGTTTATATCGTCAGTTGTACCTGAGTCATGTTTGAACTGACCAACATTCCTGCTATTACATATGCCCAACCACTGCCTACCGCAAAGGGCGATTTTTTCTGGTGTAAGAGTAGGCTGGAAGAATTCTAGGGGTGGTCAGACCAAAAGGTGGCATCAGTCGATGAAGTCATTGACAGTTGGGCTGAGTTATATCAACAAGTGTAGACTTCCTGGTCGGGGTCTGCGTGGTTATCGTAACCTATGGTTAGAGACTGGATGACATGGCTCAAAATCGTTTGTGATGGTACAGGTGCGTCAGTTCGTTGTCTTCTTAAAATTCTAAATTCCTCATAGCTTTCTTTGTTTTTATTCCACTAATTTACATTTTCTCGAATCGCATTTTCAATGCCTAATCTTTCCCGTTACCACTGATACTGTTACTACCCCTACAATATTCTGGGAATTGGTCTGACAATTTTACCTCTCTGTGCTAACGAGTGTGTTTACTTGAACCAATGCACATATGTTCCAGCCTGTATGTTGTGATTCACTCACTAGCTAATAACTATCCTGGATTTTACTAACCCACTTTGTTGATTACTATTGATGTGTCGGTTGCTACCATTCACATAGCCTAACTGTATTTTAGTGGATATAATTATCGTAGGGAAAGTAAAGGGAGTGAGAATATAGAAATAAGAAATTTGGTTCAGTAATACTTGTTAGGTAAAATTAAGATTCACGCAGGTTAACTTATGTCAGCTTTCTCTTACCCTTGTAGTATTTATTTGTTGTACTTTTCAGTTTTTTAAACAGGGGAACTATAATACAGTAATTAGCCACTGATATTGTTTAGATGTTGTATCCGGTAGCATGTATAGTCAACTGCATTAGACATGATTGATTTCGGGATGGATATTAAGATTGCCTGGGATTCAGCAACATAAGACTCGTCTAGTAAGTGGTGAATATATTGTAAGGTATTCTTTTGTAAGGCATGTTGCGTCTTTGCAAATTAAACGGACCAACTTTCTCACTAGCTTTGATAAACTGTAAACAGACACAGTTGAGTGCATCACAGTGGACCGGTATGTTATCCTGATGGATGTTACAAACAGTAAGCTACGATATGTATAGATCATACAATTATCCCATATATTTTAGATCAGAGTAAGAACTAAGTTTTTTTCATGTATATATTTGTCATACGTAACTGTGTTCGTGGTCATAACCTGATAACAACTAATTATTTTCCACATTGAGCGATAATATTTTTAGCCGAAATCATATATTTTTAAATGAAAGATAACATATTCCTATTTAAACATTAAAAATGAAAAAACACGAAGTTCAGCGAAAGGATCTCTTTTCAACGAATTTATTATCAAGCTGTACAATCATATATGTATGAACATTTTTTGTCCAAGTACTAATTCCGTGAGGAAATGCGAACACAAATAACCAATATGACGTAATACGAATAATAACAATAGATTTAGTGAATATAATAAGATGATTAAAAAGTTTTTGTTACAATAATTAAAGGTCATAGAGGTTTAAAAATAAATAGAGTGATATAAGTATTTATGAATAAAACGATGAGAATATAAGACTTAAGTAAAGGGGAATTCAGTAATAATAGCAATGATAAAAATAATATTAATTAGGGCCAAGATAACGATAAGACGTACTTCTTTTGTACACGTAGTTCTAGTTTGAGCTCACGGATGGTAAAAGCTTCGACTATTTATTAGGAGATAGATACGAAAATATCTAGGTAGATTTGAACGAATTATATAAACAACCTTAAAATCAAACTGTGAATCCGTAAAATGATTACAGTCGATTAGGTATCCAAGTGTAGAACTAACTGCTTTCCCTTCACCCTTGTAGAACCAAACTGGAACATGGTCTGGTATTCGAGCTGAAAGCGAGCGCTGGCTACGGCCAATGTAACTTGCTCCACAAGAGCAGGTGGACTAGTAGATGCACATGGAGGCAACCAAACGCGGAAGCTTATCTTTTATGGATACAGAAAATAAGTCCCTATTGGTGAAGGTTATTCGCAATTTCGCCGCATTAAATGTTCTTTTAATCGCTGTCGTTAGGCGATTATTGATTACGTCAGATGTTCAATCCCCCTTAAATTCCAGATCAAAAAAAGGGTTTTCCTTTGGGACGGAACAACTAGATTTCCTGTCGCAACTACTTTGGCCTTAATATTATTTTATCATTACTATTATTACTGCATTCCCCTTTACTTAAGTCTTATATTCTCATTGTTTTATCCACAAGTACTCATCATATCACCTTATTTATTTTTAAACCTCTATGACCTTTAATTATTGTAACAAAAACTTTTTAATCATCTTATTATATTCACTAAATCTATTGTTATTATTCGTATTACGTAATCTATTATTACAATCTTTCTATTACGTCATATTGGTTATTCGTGTTCGCATTTCCTCACGGAATTAGTACTTTGACAAAAAAAATTTCATATATATATATATATATACGATTGTACAGCTAGATATCTTGGGGAAGTTGCATTTATTCTACCTTTTATTGATTTACGTTACTCTTGGTGTATTAAGAGACTTGTTAAATTGTGACAAAGGGATCTTATCTTTTTTCTGTTATTTTCATCTTGTCATGCTAATCTGATATGGCAACTTAGGCCAGCGCGCATATATTCGAGAACCTACACTGGTGGTGTCTGATAGAAATTGACCAAGTGATGCATGCGAATGTTATGATGAGTTTCTTTTGAACTATAAAGTACATAATAATTTCGTAAATGTCTGATTTTAGATTATCAACTTTGTTTAATATTTTCATAATAATGTTTACTATGAAATACATACGTAAATAATTTCCACATACACCTATCACGTATTCACATGGACTTGGAAACCATAAAAACCCAGGAAAAACATTTTCTGACCCAATATGTCGCTACTTCCCATTAAATATTTATGAGACTTGTTCTGTTCTAAATTTCTGTACTTGATTTTTCATAGTCAGTGTAAATAGACATACGATTTATGTTAGTATAATAGAGGTACAGACAGTTCGTATTTTTGTTGTCTTCAATTGTTTAATCATGTGCTTAAGCTTATTATTATTTCGTGTCGTACAACCGTACACTGGTATATTTTGGCAATGTATATATTATAAAATCTATTCAAATAACTGATGTAAGACTTACATTCATATCAACTGACGTGACCATTGGGTTGTTTGGTAAAAAAAATATTTTTCTTTGTAAACAGTTACATAAATGATCTGCTTTAGATGAAGACGTGTAATATTTGAGTTGATTGTAGGCAACTGAGTTTACTTTAACAAACCTTAACATAATTTTCCTATTTAGAAACCACATGAACATACATGACTCAGTCAGTGTGAGATAATGACAGAAATATGTGGATTTAACAACAAAAATAAAACAATTATATCTTATTAAAATTATTTTAAGTATTTTCTTTTAGTTAGACTATCAATCAAGTTTCGAATAAACTTTAACTCCAATGATCTCATCACCGATTATTCAACAACTCGTAACTAATCTGAGCCGTAATAAAAGTACGACGTATATTTCGAGGTATAAAGCGCATATTTATTAGATTACTTGGGTCGTGACAAAGTTTAATAATAGTGTTCGACGGACCTAACTAAATTGACTGGAAGGACAAACTTTATGGCACGTTTTATTTTCGAGGGATGACACATACGATTTCTCTAAACCTATAGGTCAGCTAGTTATATTTAAGACGGAGTCTAGGACGAATGTTTTCACTTCCGCATTGGTACAGTAAGATGAGATTATTAGAATGACTACTAAGGTAGTAGTTTTAGTACTAAATATTGTAAACAAAGTTATGCGCCAACAGCTACACAAAATGATTCAAGGCAGCACACGGAACGAATGGAGGTTCGGAGAACTTTACTTTTTCCTAGTCATATATGTGACCGGTTTATTTTATTGGATAATTTCATAATCAGCCAACAACACGGTTGAGATTTTTTCCGCCATGTAAGGAAGAAAATACAAGACGTCTCCAGGATTATGAAATAAAACAAACTATATAGAAACATCTATCAGCGCATTTCGAACACAAACTGCTCAAAATCTACAATACTTCAAACTATCTTGGGGAGCGACAAAATGACTAAATACAACAATACGTGTTTATTTACATCATAATATTAGTTACAAATGCGTTCAAGACTACACTACGTGTTACTAATTCAACGATTCTCACGGTAACTAATTAATGTCCATTGAATGGAGCCCACTGAAAGCAATTTGTTTTAAATGTATCCACTAACCACCTATGGTATTTGTACTAACTGATTATTGTTTTGTACTTGAT